GTATATGCACAGCAGAAATGTAGTTCAACCATAAAAGACTTATGAATGAATTCCTCATTACTTTCAGCCATTCTGTAAATCAAATGACTTCGTGTCAGTATTCCACACTTTGAAACTGAAGTCAATAAGCAAAACAAACACTTCCTCCATTTACTGCATGATCTACTGAACCATCAAATAATTAACTCTTCAAAAGATGGCAGAAAGAGATTGGAAGAAAACAGGAAATTTGTAAATTGTAAATGCAAGGAAAGGGTTAGCCAAGAAATGTCATCTATTCATCAGTTTATTCATTTTCTAACAAGTGATCTCATGTCTACAGCAGTAAAAAGACAATACAAATCTGTAATTTTACTGTGCTCATACAGGAAATAAACAGAGTGTGACGTGCAGCTATATCATTTGGTTTCACTGAACTCCTGGATGGTCTAGCAGCCATTTTTGAATGTGAGTGTATATTACTTCCAGGAGGAGCACATCCTGACTGTTCTATGCAGTTAACACATGCAGCAGGTGTTCTACATAAACCTTACAGCAGAGATGTCAAGCAGAATATAACTCCATTATGAACTAAGTTTATTAATAATGACTGAACCATGCCATAATGATACATCAGTATGTTTTCTGGTTCCATTTCATATGTACATGAAATTTATAATAACTAATGAAATGTCTGTTGAAAATTAATGGAAGTATTTGCCATTTCCCTTCTCTAACTACAGATTTCACAGACAGTCCTCTGTTCATCCACTCTTAGGGCGAGGGCACACCAAGGAAACTCGCAACTGCAGTTCCTGAGAACTGTTATCAGACTTACACATTACAGCACCTGAGAAAGACTTTCAAATCACAGTTTCACTGAATATGCACATTCTGAAGTTTGGAATAATGACTTCATAACATAAGCATATTAATAATAGTCTACAAGGCTTTTTCAGGTAAAGGTCAACTTTCTAATACCAAATGATCACACAACACAACTGAAATACTGTCATTTGTTGTTGCCATCTTGCAGTTGTCATAAATATGATAGTTTTGTATTTTTCTTTTCATGGCAATAATGAACACTGCCATGCTTAGACTAATTATGTATACACTTTGTTCATCTGACATACTTCCAGATAATTTCTGTGCCTGCTGTAAATGCTGGGTTGGGAAAAATTAAGATATTTCACTTGCGAGCTAATTAAATAGCTATGATTTATCTATGACTGCCTCTGTGGTCTGGTGGTCAGAGCTCCTGGCTTCAGATCCAGAGGTCCTGAGTTTGACTCCCAGCGCTACCAGATTTTCTGAGAAGTAGTGGCTCTGGAAAGGAGTCCACTCACCCTTCTGAGGATAATTGAGGAGCTCCTTGAATGGAAAAGTAGCAGCTCAAGCCTAAACAACTGGGATTAAGAGCTGTGGGGATCCGTTGCACTGACCACATGACACCCTCTATCTGCTAAAGTTGGCACTAACTTCAACCACAAGCGTCAGTCACTCGTTCAGTATAGTTCGCTTGCAGACTAAAGCCATGGAGTTTGTTTCTTCTTATGATTTATCTATAAAGAGATGGGATAGCTCTGTCAGTGAAGTGACTGGCTATGGCCTGGACTAATGCTGACATATTAAGAATGCACGAAGCTTTATCTCCATGCCTTTGTGATTTCACGATGTGCTGGTTAGAAAGGAAGAAATGTAGACACAACTTTACATAGCAAGAAGAGCGATGAAATACAGGTTACCAGTAAAGCAGAAGATTTTTACTACTAGAGACTTAGAATACTTCAGTTGCTGTAATGAAGGACCTGTGCAAGATGGGCACATTTATTATATGAAGGGCAGTCAAATGAAAACGGGTCAGAAACCAAAACACATTAAAGAAAATTTCTTACCTGAAAAGTAATCTCCAAACTGTTAATATATTTATCCCACTGGGAGATAACATGGTCAATCCCATCCTTGAAAAAGCTTGTGGGCTGTCTACAGAACCACATCTTTACCCAGCCCCACACGTCTTCGTCCGATGCAAACTGATGTCCACGAATGTCTCTCTTCAGGTCTCCAAAAATGTGAAAATCACATGGGGAGAGATCTGGTCTGTAGGGGGGATGTTGAAGCACTTCCCAACCAAATCTCTGTAGCGTATTCCTCACAGAGTGGGCAGTGTGGGGGTGCGCATTATCATGAAGAAGGATAATGCCGTTCGATAGCATTCCAGGGTGTTTCGACTTTATGGCACGTCTCAATTTCTGCAGTGTCTTCATAGCACTGTGCACTGATTGTGGCCCCATTCTCGAGAAATTCAACAAGCAGACGGCCCTTGCAGTTGAAGATCATCATCATCTCTTTACTGGAACTTGTGTGTACGGCTTTGGATTTCTTCGGAGGGGGAGAATTCACGTGTTTCCACTGTTGCCTCTGCCGTTTGCTTTCGGGTTCAAAATGGTGGCACCATGTTTCATCCCCAGTGGCAATACAGAACAGAAAAGCATACTCTTTCCCATGGTATCATTGCAAGTGACCCAGTGATGCTGCCATTCTCTGAGTTTTCTGTTCCTCCGTGAGTTGATGTGGAACCCACTGTGTGCAGATTTCGTGGTACAGGAGGTGTTCTGTCACAATGGCATGTATGGAACCATGACTTATTCCCATCAAAAGACTAATTTCTTCCACAGTGATGATGCGATGAGCCTGTCCTGGATGAGCATCATCTTGCAGTGACACAGCCCTCTCAGAATCTCTTATGCCACGCCAGCACATGCGAACATGACATGCTGTGTTCGCCATAAACAACAGATATGCGACGATGAATTTCTCATCCTCCTACTTCTTCAACAGGCAAAAAGTGCACTACACTTCGCTGTTCTTCTTTACCCACCTCCATCACTGATGTTGGACGACCACAGGTAGCGCTAACCTTACTTCCAGCACAATAAACAAACGACTTAGTGTGCAAGGGCACGTCACTGTGCTTTCCCCGAGTCTCCACCAGATGTTCATACCATAAGCAAATTCCAGTGTTACCAACTTGCATGCCACGTGAGTTATGCATGGTGACCCATTTTCATTTGACTGCCCCTTATAGAAACAGTTTGACATAGGAGATTTATTTCACAGAGGTCGAGGAATAAGTACAACCCGAGGAAAGAAAGGTGTTTGCAGGAGTCCATTACTATCAAATACTTAACAACAGAAGAAATGACAGCATTTTCTTGTCTTTAGGTTTGCAAGATGTTTTCTGTGTTGAGAGCCACTTCACCTACATGTAACTGGTCCACAGAAATGAATTCCACATACAGTAGAATCTCTGTTGAATGATCCTCTTGGGGAATGCCTCTTATTTTGCAGTATATTGATGGTTTCACGAAGTTACATCAGGAAACTGTCAATCATCTTATGAGACTTACTATATAATAATAACAACAGTTTCTTTACGTAATTACTCAAAGAAACTCTTTCTGTGCAAATAAATACAATTACATCTATATAAATAAAAACGTAAATGTTGGTTTGTTACCCCTCGAAGATCTCCGAAAGTTCTTCACTGATTGCTTCGAAATTTTGACACAACGTTGCATTCAAACGCGCGCGTTTTTATATACCTATTATATACATGTCACACCTGTGACAGGTAAAAACATGCTTCTTTTGAAAAACAGAATTGGAATTTGGAATTCAGAAGAGTCACCGCTACGGAAACGCTAGAACAGACCGTTGCATAGGAAGTAAGAATAGCAATACTGTATCGAATCTTCATGGTTACGATGAATACACAGAGCATTCCCACAGAGACAACGCAATAACAATGGGTCATTGCACAGGAATCATGGAATCAACAGAGCAGCGTTTCCGCGGTTATGACAAAGGCTCATTTGCATAGCAGCAGCCGAGGGTATTAAAGGGGGTTGAATTCATTCGCCCAGTCAGTCTTGGAATAGATGCCACTGAAGAAGGTTGGAACCTAGACGCCAAGAGATACAGAAGTATTGGCCGAGAGATTGTGTAACCAGTAACTCTAATACTGTAAGTGGCGATAACTGTAAAGTGTGCAAGTGAATTACAATAAAGATTCGCTATAATTAATATGGCATAAAGTTATTTGTAGCGTGACATACCCAAACACGCTACATGCATTACTGACGCATGCAACACGTCACATCCACATTGGAATTTAGATGTGTCATTTACCATAGCGTTCATTTCGTGAGTATAGTTTATTTTTTTCTTCCTTCATTGTTTTTCATTTCGTTTTCTTAACTGCGTTCCTTATTTTTCAGTGCAATTGGCGGTTGAATTGAGCTGTGTCGATTGATCTGCATTTGAATTGAAATATTTCGTTAGTATTTTTTATTTTTTTTTGTTCCTTCGTTTTCCAGGTTGTGTTCTTTCCTTTTTTAATGTTTTGCAATTTTATATGTTTTTGTTATAACTTCCTTTCTTCTTCTTCAGTGCAATTGATCTGCTTCAGTTCATCCAAATAATGCCTCATAGAAGATCAAGAAGATCAAACTTAGGTTGTCGTACTCGTGGAGCGGAAGCAGTGCGATGAGTAATTGCAAATCAAACTGGGGAAGAACGTGCAGACTGAGCCACAGCAACGCATGGCCGGGTACAGCTAGTAATTAATAATATTAAATTAATTTCTAAAATAATGACAAAGTAAAAGTTGAAGGAAGATCCATCAAGAATCAAAGCCTTAAGTAACTGGGCTTTAGTGCTTGTTCAGCGTGACATCGCTCACAAAAGATTATAGCTGTGTGATAACAGTCTTCAGTAGAGAGAAAGTATATCAATTGTTGTTTCAATTAGTCACACTAAATCAAGGTGTGAGTTCCGAAAGGCAAAAAAAAACTTTTTTTACTAAACATATATTATTTACTAAATTGAAATACACTGAATATGGCAAATAATACATTGTACAAGTATATACTGGGCTTAAGCTGGGATGAGGAAAAATATTTATGAATGTGGGAATACTAAATCAGCATTTCTCTGTGTACTTTTTCGTGCACATCTTGAGTGATAACTTGTACACATTAATCTGAGAATCCATTGTTCTACCTGGGGTTAGTCAGAGCTTTGATCATCAATGGTTTTGTAAGATTGTGGGGCAACAGGGTGTTATATAATGAACTAATTTTATTGATACTCTTGCTGAAGCAGGAGGAGGTGGGTCATGTAATTCACATGCAGAAGATCTGCCCCATTTTCAAAGGATTTATTAGCTGTCTGTATGTCATGACTTCCCTGCATTCTGGTGAAGAGACAACATATAGTTAGTTGCTGTTTATTTCTAAAATCAACAACCTTCTTACTGGCATCAAATAGAGATTCTGTGTGTTTCTTCATGGTGGTTATATTAATTTCCCAATAGATTTATATCATCAGCATGGAGCAGAAACTGATGTGTCTCGTTGGATTTCAGTCCCACATGGTTTTCTTCAACTTTCCTAATGGCATATTCTAAAGCAAAGCTAAATAGCAATGGTAATAAAACATCCCCTTGTTTTACACATTTTGGCTTGAAAGACTGAGAAGGATAATATCAAAATGTATTCTAGGAAAGTAGGCTGTAAGGATGTGAACTGGACTGAATGCCTCTGGATTATGACCAAACCAGTGACGCTGAAAATATTCTGATACTGGTTTGTAAATCCTAATAGTCAGCATCATAACTGCAAAACAGGAAATTTGTGTAGTAAAAAGACACAAGATCTTTTTATAATAACAATTATTGTTCAAGAAATCAGTAAATAAACTTAAAATATTCTGCCACATTACTTTACCAATACCACACATATATGAATAAAAACAGAAAATTTCTGAGCATTCATCAGTAACAAAAGTATAAACAGGGCAATTAAATATATTATTTACCATAAAGTACAACCAATGAACCAAAGTAAGACAATAGATCTCAAACTTTAAGGAACATCTTAATGTGGGTGTTCCAAACCACATATTGAACTTCTACCACTTGATATATAATGAAACCTTTTTGATACCAGTAATTAATTAAGAGTATGCCAAGAAAGAATTACCAAGTTTGAAACAAAACTTAATTATTTCACATATACAGAGTCAGTCAGCTGTATAAGTACATTAACCTATGTTCATATGTTAGAATTTAAACTTCAAAACAATATTACATCCTTATATGCATGTACATGTGCCCCCCGATACCCACACACACATGCACACACACGCTGTGCACTTTGGTGGCAGCATGCAACAGTATGGAATGCCTTAACCTGTTTCATATAGCAGAAAAATGAAAAGGAAGGAAAAGTGTTACCAAAAATGAGAGTATTAGGATAAGATCTATAATTTAATATAAGCTTTTTGTATGAAAAAGGAATTACTAAAAAATGCAACTTCTTTGCAAAAATCTGTATATGTATATGGCACAACAGTTCCAACCATAACTCACAACATGTTTTTCTGCGTGGCAGAGCCATTTATCCATAATGAATTAAATGTTGTTAGTTGGACTATTTTTATAATTTGTGAGAACATCTGATGACCATACTTGAGAAGGGATACGTGGGACATTCGCTTCATAACATGTCACTCTAACAACGATCTACCACTATTTTATTTTAATACCTTTAAGTGTTGTGTCCCTCCTTTACCTCTTATTCTTCAGGGGATGTCTCTTTTGCAAGTGCTAGTGCATTTGAGAATACAGCTAGAGTAGGTGACACTCCCATATGAAGAAGCAGCATAGTTCCTGCCTCAGCTACACTGCCAGCAGCCACAAGCTGATTGGCTACCGTGTTCCATGATGGAAGATCACAAGTACACTGTATCAACATGTGTTCAACCATTTGTGAATAAGCAGGAGTTGTAATCAGGGCAGGAGCCAGTCCCTTCTGGAGGAGAAGAGACAGCAACCGATCGCTTAATTTGGGACTGTCCACCTACAGAAAATAAAAAGCCCACATTTAACACAATCACCATCATACATTTCAATTCAATGGCAGCCTCAAACATACAAGATGCTTAAACAGGGTGTTTATTTCAACATCCTACTCAGAATAGAGTTTAGCTATACATACTACATACATTTTGATCCTAGAAGTTGCTTGAAAGAAATTGAATTCATAAAAAATTATGCAGTATTCCTGCTAAAATAAAGACTATTACTGTAAGTGTATCTGAAAAGCTGATATCACAAACTTTTAAAAATACTTTGTTTCTTATTATATGGAAAGATAACAGATTTATGTGATTGAGAACAAAGTTCTGGGGACAATATTTGTTATATAAGAAAGAGGAAATAACAGGAAGATGGAGAAAATCATTATTCATAATTTATATACTTTACTTAATACTGTTAGCTTGATTAAACTGAGACAGATAAAAATATGGTAGGAAGCATATATGGGAAAAATAAGAAATGCATATATTTTGTTGAAGACTGCCTCTGTGGTCTAATGGTCACAGTTACTGGCTACAGATCCAGAGGTCACAGGATCGATTCCTGGCGCTACCAGATTTACTGAGAAGTAATGGGTCTGGAACAGGGTCCACTCAGCCTCATGAGGATAACTGAGGAACTATTTCAAGGAAATAGCAGCTCCGGTCTAGAAAACCGAAATTAACAGCCATGGCAGATTCATTCCACTGAACATGTGACACCGTCTATTCTCTAACATAGGCACTAACTTCGCCGACAAGCGGTGGTTGCTCGGTCAGAATAGTTCGCTTGCAGACTGAAGCCATGGAGTTTGTTTGTTTTGTATATATTTTGTTGAGAAACTTACTTACTTACTCATGGAGCTGAGCCCTTCTGGAGGAACTGCCAATCTTGCAGCTCAAGAATTTCCTAGCATATTATGGAACCCGAAGGTTCATTACCATGTTCACAAGAGCACTCCACTGGTCCCTCTCCTGAGCCAGATCAATCCAATCCATACCATCCCATCCTATCTCCCTAAGATTCATTTTAATATTGTTCACCCACCTATGCCTTGTTCTTCCCAGTGGTCTCTTTCCTTTTGGCTTCCCCACCAATAACCTATACACATTCTTCGTCTCCCCCATTCGTGCTACATTCCATGCCCACCTCATCCTCCTTGACTCGATCATTCTAATTATACTTGGAGAAGAGTAAAAGTTATGAAGCTCCTCATTATGCAGTTTTCTCCAACCTCCTGTCACTTCATCTCTCTTTGGTCCAAATATTCTCCTCAACACCCTGTTCTCAAACACCCTCAGTCTATGTTCCTCCCTTAATGTCAGAGACCAAGCTTCACACTCATACAGAACCACTGGCAAAAATATAGTTTTCTATATTCTAATTTTTGTTTTTGGACAGCAGACAAGAAGACAAAAGTTTCTGGACTGAATGGTAGCAAGCATTACCTGAGTTCAATCTCCTCTTAATTTCCTCCTGAATCAGGTTTTGATCTGTTATCGTTGTTCCCAAGTATCTGAGCTGTGCCACATTTTCAAAACATCTGTTTCCTATCTTTATATCATGATTTTGCCCTGCATTTTGGTGACGAGACAGCAACATAGACTTAGTTTTCTCAGTGTTTACTTCTAGACCAACCTCTTTACTTATGTCAATTAAAGTTTGTGTGTTTTTCTTTACGGTATCTACATTATAACCTGAAAGATTCACATCACTGGCATAGACCAACAGCTGATGTGTCCCATTTAATTTCAGTCCCACCTGGTTTCCCTGGACCTTCCTAATGGCATATTCTAAACCAAAGTTGAAAAGGAGTGGTGATAAAGCATCTCTTTGCTTTAGACCATTCTGGATAGGAAATTTATCAGACAAATGTTTACCTACACGGACTTTACTATACGTTTCATTTAAACACATTTTAATCAACCTAACTAGTTTCATGGTTATCCCAAACTCTATCAGAATATTGTACAATATTTCCCTTCAAACTGAATCATAGGCTTTCTTGAAGGCTATGAATAGCTGATGTACGTCTCATTGTACTCCCATTTTTTTCCAATATGTAATGAATGCAAAAGATCTGATCTGTAGTTGATCTGTTACATCGAAACCCACACTGATGATCCCCAATAATTTTATATATATATGGACTTAACCTTGAGAGAAGAATATTCAATAAAATTTTGAATGAAGTTGACAGCAGTGATATCCCCCGATAATTATTACTGTCAGTTTTATCACCTTTTTTGTGAACTGGTTCAATAATAGACTCCTACTGATCAGGCAATTTTTCCTTATGCCAAATAGAAGTAATTAGATTGTGGATCTTAGAATGTAATATTTCACCTCCTGCTTGAATAAGCTCTGCCAGAATTTGATCACTACCTGGTGATTTATACCGTTTCAGCAAACACTTGGGAAATGTAGATATTGATGGAGGGATAATATTGATCTTTGAGAAACTGGGTCTGAAGGAGTGCACTGGATTCAACTAGCTCATGACAAGGCCCTGTATAAACATGCTGATATTTGAGTTCTGTAAAAGTATGAGATTCTTTTCTGACCAAATGGGTGATTATTATCTTTTCAAGAAAGATCTTCTGGCACTGAGGTAGCAAATAAACATAGAGATTAAAGAAAGATGAAAAAGCATGAGCAAACACTGTGGTAAAATTTACATGTAACTCACAGACAAATGTTTCTGTATGAGGCTTGTAACTGTGATGTGCAAAGATGAGTGGTTAGACAGCAGACATATAAGCAGCAGTAACGAGAGGTCTGTAGATTCTTCAGTCATGGAGACCAGTTGCTCAATACTCTGTAACAAAGTCAAGTTTTATTCATTTATGTCTAACAACAGATGCTAAAAAATGCAAACCACAACCCAAGAGATTGGAATGTTTCCTTTTGTGTGTTTATCACATGAAGAGCATAAAATGAACACATTACAAGGTCATGCTTATGTTCACAAGTTCCAAAACTATACAACGAACCTCAATTAAATCTGACACTGGGTGTCTACATCGAAACACTGGTAGATTTACATTACTGTGTACATTTGTTCAAAATAATTCTTGCGTTTACACATTTTTGCACTTGTACATTTCACACTTTTGAAATTAAGTGATGATTTATTTATTTAAGGATGTTTCCTGACTCTGGCTGATGTATTCCCCCCCATCATCAGCAATCAGTACAGCTGCCCCCCCCCCCAACTTATATTTCCTCAACCTCTCTCAGTAACTTTCATCCAAAACAATTTTCAGTATTTATTTTTAATTTGCCAGTCACAGTTGCTGCACAATCTAAGGCACGAACTGTCTTTGCTCACCCAAAAGCTGGAATCATGGGTTCAAATTCCACTCAAGGTCTGCGTTTATTCTGTGTTTGTGTAGGTAGTGGCCTTGCAACAGGCTGATCCCACTTCCAAGGAGTCCTACTGACTGTCCTAAGATTAACCCTTCAGTTCTGGGCTCGGTGCACTACACGCCAGCAGTTTCTGTCACATGTCGCCAGGGTCTGTACCCCGCACCCGTATTGCAGCTCCAAGTTTCTGCGTGTATTCTGAACCATTGTTTTTCATGTAAAGTAATTCTTTGGGTATGAAATTAAAGAGGAAATTTCAGGCTCTACGTTTCAGCTCGTATTTTGACCCATTGTTTTTCATGTAAAGTAATTCTTTGGGTATGAAATTAAAGAGGAAATTTCAGGCTATCATTTCATATATTCGTGGTCCCACTTTGAACTTCCTGCGGGAGTTGTAATACATTTGAGTTCTTTGAAAAAGTTTTCTATTTCAACACTTGGTACGCTTGTTACCATACAAACCTACCTCTGCCTAGGGGAATTCTTATGAACTAAATATGTTAGATGAATACTGTGTACTATCCACTATCCTGAACGAATGAAAAGTTGATTCTCTTGAGGCATACTGTGAACTGTGCTGCTTCAACATTGGTATTTGTAACTACGAGAAGACATGTGGAGAATCTACGACTTTGAGACGTGATGTTGACTCTACAAGTGTGTTATGACTGCTATGTAGCAAATGATACTTCACAGGGCAGTCTTTGCTAAGAAGCTGAGTCACTCAGCTAGTCCAGACATTTGCTGCGTTTTATGGAACTCAGTAGTTCATTACTGTACTCATGACAGCCCATTCTGGACCCTGCCACTTAGCTTCACCTACAATGGATTTGTCTTCTACTGACATACTAGAACAGCCATTAAGTTCGTGGACTGGCCACAAAGCGTTGTTGCAGTGCATTACAACGGATAGGTTGAGGCACGATCTGATACCCTGTCAGTTCATCTCTCGTAACACCAAGAGGCAGTTGTGTGCAAACAGTGTAAGCAGAACTGTGGCCTCTATTGTGAACTGCAGTTAAATGAAAGTGGCGGAAATAAAAAAATGTGACAGCTTGAACAACGGGCAAACATCAAGTTCTACTAGAAACTAGCAAAGTCCCTTAGTGAAACGTTTGGTGTATGAAAAATTGGCTGTTGCGACACAACAATGCCCCTGCACATCGCTCTGTTCTTGTCCAAGAGGAATTGGCAAGGCAACAGGTCACCATTCTGCCACACCCTCCGTACTCACCTGATCTTGAATCATATGATTTCTTTCCCTTTCACTGCTGAAAGCAAAGCTACGTGGTCATAGATTTCAGTCATCTGAGGAGGTCGTCAATGCCACAAGAGATGCCGTATGGAAATTTCCTGCCAATATATGTTTCAGCAATGTTTTCGGCACCTATATCAACATTGGCAGACTTGCATAGCAGCTAACAGCAACTATTTCGAGGGCCGATGTGGATCTGTGTAAGTGTATGTGAATACTTTGTAATATGATGTGACAAAACGTCAGTCCACGAACTTAATGACTGTACCACGTATAACTACTGTGGCTTTATCAATGAAAGTTCCCTACTTCCTTACTGTGTATCCAGCTAAGTTCTGGATCACAAACGTAGACCCAAACTTAGAGACCACGGACATAATAATATGCTGTGTGGTGAGGACTGTCACACACCACAGAGTAGTGATAGATGTGTACTGAGCAACGGCCAAATGATGACCACACGGGTAATACCAAAGTAACTCAGACATTCAGCACCACATAATTCACCATGAATCTTGTGAAGTCACCCATGATGAATCTGAGTCTGCAGTGAGAAGCAAGTGCCTAACTGTCTGAGCTACTGTACAGTCTCTCCTCCAAATATAACTCATCCCAACTTATTTCCTCTTTTACCTCATCCATACTGTTCTTCTGTTTTTAATAATAAATTTTTGTTCTTATTTTTCTCACAACTTTCACTTGGAGCTTCACAGCATATTCTGATATACTAATTCTTCTGAAGTGCACACCATTTAAATTTTTTGTTTATCTCTAACTTGTTTATGAGTAAGCATCTGTGAATTTCCATTTCTTCCCTGTATCTACCGTTTTGGTCCTTTCACTGAAGCTTCTTAAAGGATCAAGATCAGCAAGATCAATGAGGGACACAAAACTGTAAACAGTGCAACTCAAAGTAAGATTTGAGGCTTTCACGGCGGTGACTATGAAGAAAGTCTTCTGGGATTTCGCACCGTGTATATGTGGTGTTAACCGACATTTCGGAGGAACGTATCGCCCCCATCTTCAGGGTAGAAGAAAAAGTATAAGAAATCTGCAAGCGACAACACCGTGAGAAACGGTAAAGCAGCAGTCTGCTTTATTTTTTTTGTTGGAAGGAGTTAGACCTAATGGTTTCTGTTACAAACTGTCACTCAAAGTAACATTTACTTACAGTTGGTGAGAAGATGTTATGTTGAAAAATATCTTCCAGTACACATTCCACCTCATCCATGTTTCTATCTCCAAAAACTATCATTTTGTATATGAGCTGCATCCAAGGATTTGCAGATGTCTTACCACTACAAACATAAAATAGAAATAAAATATCTAGCAAATGAATAATTTACAAACACATTGGAGACAATGACTACACACCTAATTATCCTCTGCATTAAATGGCCCGTGGGTTAACTCAGCATCTAACAAAAATGAATACCAGGAATCTTCCTGGGGATAAAGTGCAGCTGACATATGAGGCTGATATCCTTACCACCATCTGTGAGCCGACTCTCTAGAAAATTTGGAAGCCTCAACATATCACAACCCTACGGGCCTCTATGGCCTGTTAGAGGTATCACTTTATCATCATCAGGGCCCGTATTTTGATGACATGTAATCTTTTTTTCCTTGTATCCTTTGTAATGCTCTTAAATATATAAATCTCGGATATGAGCAGCTGGTTACAGAAATGTAAATTTTATAGGTAATTTTTGTCTTTTTCTGACCTTTTTTAGGATTAAGGGCATTTTTTCATTTTGGGGGTAATTTTTTGGGCTTTTAAGGGTATTTCTTGTCATTTTTGGCCATTTTAGGGAATTTCTCTTCATATGTTTTCTGAAATGTGAAAAATATGGAAGCAAAGTGTTCTTTCTCTTTCTCCTAAGTGCTCTCTACAAAGGCCACAGTAGACAATAATAGGTTGTAATCCTGGCCCATCCTTTCCATTCATTTCGCAGAAGTGCTGACAATACATATCATAAAAGAGGGTCCGGCAATGACTATTCACACTGTGTCTCTTTATACAAAGCAATTTGCTTAGTTACACATATTCCTAGTCAGAATCTCTTGCTTCATATGACATTGTTGTTCAATAAAACTCCTTCTGTCTCCAGTTCCTCGCCCTTGACCATACAGATAAAGATACAGTTGACGAAAGGTTCTCGGTGAGAAAAGTTCAGTTCTGTGTTGCGCTAGAGTGATTAATTTTATCACGATGCCAAAAGCAAAGCCAATTAATCGTGTCATTTAAAGCAATTTGTAGCTAAGTTTGGAGATGATATATTTTCAACTGATGGTGACATTTTATACTGCAAGATGTGTGACACAAAAAAGTAGCAGCAGAAAAAAGATTCACAGTACAACAACATATTGGCCATGACAAGTATTTATGAGTAGTGCAAATTTCGAACAAAAAGAAACCTGTGCAAATGTTACTACAACAGTGTTCATCTGGAGGTGGAAATAAGTCATCAGATTTTTTCAGAGATCTGTGTGATGCTCTGGCATCCACAAATATTCTGTTTTGGGCTCTGAACAATGGAAAACTGAAAAATTTTCTGGAAGTAAAGTGTGGTCGTTCCATCCTGGATGAATCCACACTCAGGAAAAACTACCTTTCCCAGTGCTACAACAGTATCCTGGAAATGATTAGGAATAAAGTGCATGGGAAGAAGATCTTCGTTTCCACTGATGAGACCTGCGATACGGAGGCTCGCTACGTGGCAAACATCATCATTGGAACATTGGAAGTTGATGGACCAGGTGAAGTGTTTCTGCTTACGAGTGAGGTGCTAGAATCCGTTAATCATTCCACAATTTGTAAACTCTTTGACAGATCGATGTTTCTACTGTGGCCACAGGGTATACAACACGGCGACATCTTGCCTTTTGTGACCGATGCAGCCCCATATATTGTAAAAGCAGGCAAGTAAATGAAGTTGTTTTATACGAAATTGGTGCATGTTGCTTGCCTAGCTCATGCACTGCATAGAGTGATGGAGGAAGTGAGATCAAAATTTCCTCAAGTGGATGCTCTCGTGTCGAGGATGAAGAAGATTTTCGTCAAGGCTCCAGCTCGTAAAATGCATTTTAAGTCTATGGCTCCTGGTGTTCCACTGCCCCCGGAACCCATCACTACGAGGTGGGGAATGTGGATTGATGCTGCAATTTACTATTGCGATCATTTTCAGGTAGTGAAAAACATTGTAGATTCAATGAAGACGGAGGATGCGAGGGCAACTGAAACTGCTCAGGAACAGTTCTCATGCATCAAGATGGAAGGACAACTGGCCTTCATAGAGGCAAATTTCAGTTCCTTGACAGAAGGAATCCAATGCCTGCAGGAGAAAGGAGCAATGTTAGAAGATTCGCTTGCTCTAGTGAAAAAAATAGCCAATGATTTGGAGAAAGTGTCAGGGTACATTGGTAAAATGGTGTCAAGAAAAATGAAAAGTGTTCTAGATAAAAACTCAGGTTATGAAACATTATGCAGCATTTCTCAAATTCTGTCAGGAGAGACCTTCAGCGCTTTCACTATTGAAGAAGAACTTACTGCTAGTGATTTGGTACACTTGAAGTACGCTCCCACTGTGTCTGTAGATGTGGAAAGGAGTTTCTCCAAGTATAAGAATGTGCCGTTGGACAATAGGCGCTCTCTTTCGAGAATTTCCACATGTTGACTTTCATCTATTGCAACTATGAATGAATGAGGTAAGACTTAAAGGCTGGAACACATACCATATATGTACATCTAATAAGCGTTCTAACATGACAGAAAAAGTCGTATTAAAACATTTAGATTCAAATTCAATCAATATTGCTTAATTTTCAACATAGAACGAGGACGAACTTAAAAGAGTAAAGATGAGTTCAGTGTTAATAAAGATTAGAAATACATTTTAAAATAATTAGTAGATATTCTGACATATTACATTTTTGGGTCATATTTTAGATCATTTTTCTGGATTTCTTTGGTCATTTTATAGGTAATTTTTTAAATATTTTCAGGTCATCAAAATCCAGGCCCTGATCATCATCATCATCATCATAGTTGGTTTATTTCATATATGTCACTAACGCAAATCGTTGCAGTCACTTTATTTCTCCGTTCACATGTTTCGGCCATACATGGCCATCTTCAGGTGTCTACCACCATGCTAAAACTGCTGCACTGCATGGTATGTTACATATCAAAATTAATATTAAAAATGGGTCAACCCTAATATTTTAGTTAAAAAAAGAGTTAAATCCAATTCTACTTGTGGGTATCGTCTACTCATCCAAATGACTTGTTCATGCAACCTTTCCTGTGGCATGGGTAAATTAATGTTATCGTGCAGTTCTTGGTTTAAGGTGTGGTGTTGTTTTCTCTTATCTGCAATATGTAAAGGATATTGTTATTGCACATTATTTGTATAATTTTTGTGTTTCTATGTTAGTTTACTTTTTAAACTCACAGGTGTCCCTTTGGCTGTAATTCATCACCCAGCCTGTGTAGTTGCATTGTTGTTAACCAGTGTGTATATGCTACTCAAGAAATTCCTAACATTTTATGGAACTTGAAGGATCATTACCAAGTTCACAAGAACCCACCACTGGTCCCTATGCTGAGCCAGATGATTCCACTCTGTATCACCCCAACCTAAGATTCATTTTAATATTACTGTATGACCTACATCATATATATCATGTCATATGGTATAATATTCTGGGGTAATTCAACTAATAGTGACCAAATTTTCATAATTCAAAAAAGAATAGTTAGAATAATAATGAGAGCGGGTAACAGGGACTCTTGTCGACCAATTTTCAAAGCATTAAACATTCTTCCATTCTATTCACAATATATTTTCTCAATATCTGTTTTTGTGGTTAAGAATATGGACAAGTTTGTAACAAATTCAGATATTCATGGCATGCACACTAGACGGGGTTTAGATTTACATTATCCAACCTGTAAACTGACTAAAGTGCAAAAGGGAGTGTTTTATAGTGGGATTAGGATATTTAACAACTTGCCATGTAGAATTAAAAGCTTGTCAGAGGACATTAAGAAATTCAAATATTCCCTAAAAAAATTTTTGCAGGTGGGCTCTTTTTATTCCTTACATGAGTATTATGAATGGAAATCAAGGAATGATTGTGCTTCCTATAGATAAAGATTGCGCCTATTATTTGTCACATCTAGAATATAATATTATCTGTCTGTTTTTGTTTATAATTGTTGTGAATGGCACCTGATTTTTGACGTTGTTTGTTTCGGTGTCGTGTCTGTGATTTGGTTTGATGTGTTACTTGTTTGTGTTCTACAACTGTTAATGTACTACAATTATATGTGGCCTTTTTAAATGTCTTGGATATTTAATTTTTAACAATTTATCATTTTAAATGTACTTTTTATTGACATGTTCTATATCTCAAGGCAGCGCTGCCAATTGTAGATCTCTGGAACGAAATAAATATGTATGTATGTATGTATGTATCTACATCTTCCTAGTGGATTCTTACCTTCTGACTTCTCCACAAAATTCCTACATGCATTTCTCTTTGCCTACATGCCCTGCCCATCTCATCCTCCTTAATTAGATCATTCTAATTACATTTGGAAATGAGTACAAGTTATGGAGATCCTCATTATGCAATTTTCTCCAGCCTCCTGTCACTTCATTCCTCTTCAGTCCAAATATTCTCATCAGCACCTTGTTGTCATATACCTTCAGTCTACATTCTTCCTTTTTTATCAGAGTCCAAATTTCAGACTGATACAAACTATAGGCAATTGTAAAGTTTTGGATATTTTTATGTTTTTAGACAGCAAACAAAGAGACAAAAGGTTATAATGTTGTAGATACTGTTAAGAATTTATTATCCTTTGATCATTCAGTGAACAGTACCACAATGGTTTACAGCAGCACAATATTCTGAGCTGTCTTGTCACCTGTTAAACTAAAACCGAACGAAATATATAACCTTATAAGCACGGTGACTGGCCAGGGTTAGCACTTTATAGTAGCAAAAGGGAAATAGAGTCACCTGATATCTATATCCTGGAACTGCAGCCATTTATTCAAGAGATCCTTGAGGATAATTATCTGTTGCCAAGTATGAACATGTTCCAACAACCTGCTGAATAGATGCACACATGACTCTGGTGTTTTGAAGTCTGATTCTTGCAGCTGAATGGGTGGCTGTGCCCACATTGAGGCAACAGTCGCCTGAGTTAGACGATACATCAGCACGGTATCGCTTCTCAGTTCATGAGGCTTCAAGCTCTATACATAAAGGAATGAATATACTTAGATTCTGGAGCTTATTAGTAACTTACAGACTGTTCTTGTGATATCTCTAATTCCAGATCTTGCCCAGTGCCTTGGTTTCAGATTTTATTTGATACACAAATATAAATTAAAAATTACAGAATTACAAATATCATCAAGAACATGATTAACCCTTTGACGTGGTCATTTAAATTCCGCGGCCGCGGCTCCTGCGGTAATATATTCAGCCGGCCATTTAAATTTTGCTCGAAAATTATTTATTCATCATTGTTCTTAAATTCTATGAGATAGGAACATGAAACTTTCACTAAAATGATCTTAAATGGTGGTTTTATAACCTTACCTTATAATATGGGCGCCCTGTATCTCGGCCATGGAAGCAGGTTGTTTAGTATTTCAGCAGTGAATGGTACGCCTTGAAGGATGAAACTTTCACTAAAATGATCNCGTAGGGGTGACCACAGAATTCATGAAGTTATTCTAAGTACTGGCTGGTATGTAGTGCACGAAAGCAGAGCCTAGCTGGCTCAAAAAAATATTTATGGTCATCCCTCGAAACGACCACCAAGGTCAGTACGATAAAATGGCGTCAGCTGGAGCGATAATACATGAAGGAATGAGTTCTTTTCCCTCCCCCACACACATCCGTATCGTCTCAGGGGGTGACCACAGTGTTCTGCCTTAATTCGTGACGTTTTTCTAAGAACTGGGTGCTATATACTGTGCGAAATCAATGGATCATGCGAGAATAAATTACTGGACACCCCTCTTCTAAGAATTCCAATTGAGTGTGTTAGTGTGGCCAGCTCAGGGCAATATTATATTATAAACATCACGTCTCTGCTGTTTATATCTTCAAAGCAAAGAAAACACGCCTTTCATAACAGCTTGAACGAGGAACCTCTACCAGAAGCAACAGGAACTTTGCTGCAAGACAGGTATATGTAACGATGACTTGGCGCAGATAAAGTCGTGTCTTATTTATACTCTGTTCTACTGACAACAGGCCAGCGAAAAATCTAACAATCTACAGCAAAATCATCAATTATTATGGGCGTTATAACATAGGTGTGCAGCTGGACGAAACATACACGTCGAACCCCCCCAGACGATTTAAATCCCTGACGAAACATACACGTCGAACCACGGCAACGGGTTAAATAAAATTACAGAAGAGACTAAAGCACAAATTGAAAGAATGATCTCTTACAAGATCTGAAAAAAAAAAAAGATCAAGCCATAGGAAGAGGACACATTTGCAGACAGAAAAATAGACTTTATAATACTTGTAATACGTCAGTGATGTATAAAAATTTGGGTGTCCCTATCATGAAAGAGGGGTGATTACATATGTATGGGGTATCTACATTCATAAGACTAAAGGAAATTTAAATATAAAAATGTTTTTGTACCTGCAGCAGTTCTAATGCCTGAAGCCTTATTTCTGGTGTCAAACTCATATCCTCACATAATGCTTCCACCTTCTGTGGAACTACAATGGTGCCACATGCCAGACTTTCTTGCATCCTTTTCAGCACTGCAGACAGCAACTGGGATCGTTCAGGTTCACTTCAATACGTTGAACAAACAATGCAAATAAAAGAGCACATTTTTGTTTGAAAGAATTGTTACACAATTTTTTTAACATACATATGTCCTTTCTTATACAGGGACTCCAGGTATGGCCTTCTGAAGTTCATGGCCTCTGCATGTTTGCAAAAGAAGGAATTCACACATAGTGGGAACATCCACAGAGCAGAACTTCTATGATAATGTAGTGGGTAGACCAGTTACCAGGTAACAATCAAACATGTCTCCTCAGCAACAAATCAACACATGACAGAGTTACTGTTGGAAATGGTCTTTTTACAGTAGTCCGTGGGAAGGACAAAGTTACAGCTTAGTTCAGTTGGAAGGGAGCCATTGTTCAGAGAGAAACTGAGCCTGGAAGCAGCCAATGTTAGAAGTTGATACCAGGCAACTACTAGTGAAGACACTGCGGGCCACAAAAGACTTGTAAAGTGTGGGAATTAGAGATGGTGCTACAGTCAAGCGTAATTACGAGTTGTGTTTTAAAGTGGTCAATAAATTACAGCCATAGACTTATACACCCCAAATTTATAAACCTTTTATTTCAGCTTCAACTATGTCAAACGTGAGAAAATGGGAAGAATAAATCAAATTGGTAACAGACCCACACCTTTTCAAATTTGACTTTTTCTTTTCGATCTTACTATCTAAAAATTAGGTCGTCTATGGTATACCTCTTTTCTAGTTCTGTTACCATGGAACTGAACTGATACTACTCCCATCTTCACACTACCACCACCAAGCGTCGGTGAAGTCGGGAGTGGTTTGTCGTTGCTGGCCCTCGCATTGTGTTTACATGCTCCCTAAGATCATCGTGGGAAACCAAGCTTACAGTGGAGAATCATTATTGAAGCCAATGACAGACCCAAAAATAACAACAACAATGTTTAATAGACACAAAATAAGTTATGACAAAAATAAACCTGGCTGAATTTCTCCACCCTACATTAATCCGCACCTTGCGGCATCAGCTCAACAACCTGCCCAGTTTCACTGGCCCAGTGGCATTTGAATACAAGGTCACTTCCTTCCTAGCCACATGCAGCATCAAGACAAATACATAGAATAACTAAACTGAACTGGTCTGCCACAGGCTAAGCAAACCTCAGTCACAGGTGGCCTCAAGAAAATAATATATATTTATATAAAAAACTAACTCTCGTATCGCCGCCACACCATCCCCCCGATAGCTGGTGACTGTAAACCCCAACGTCTGTGGCCAAACCCAGAGTATGCCGAAACGCAATTTTGAAACAACACCCTTCTGAACTGAAGTTTAGAAAATATCCCTGGCTGGTCCGCCAGACGTGCTTACCCACTTATCAGACTAAAACTTCGCTCTCCAACATACTTCCTCCCGAGACACAGGGATAGAAAGGAAGGGGAAATCACGTTGTCTTCGGGAGAGAAGGGGGTAAGCTTAGGATTGTGAAAGAAAGGGTAGCGCGGAAGATATGGCTATAAGCCATGACGTCACTCATTACGCGAGCCGGTCCATGCATGGCTCAGAACAAACTAATTTTTTGTAATAGAGATACTAGAAAAATCTTTAAATTGTGAAGACTGCACAATACACAATGCCTTTGTGGAGAAAAACATTTTGCAACCTCACCCAACTTACTTCTCTATTTTGTGGGTTAGTGATGGGATGGAACCAGGCCCAAGATCAGACAGTGGTCAGGCAGTATGTGGAACACTTACCTCATTTTTACAGTAGCCTCCTTCAGTAAATTACCAAGACAGTGTTCTAATGCTTTTTCAGATATTGGTAAGAGTGAGATAAACATCTTTAGAGAATCCAATGGTATGTCGCTTGTCACACCCAAATGTAGGAGTTCTTGTACATGGTTAGCTTCTCCAATTGACAGATCAAACAACCTGATTAACAAATGATACAAAAGTCAGAAACCTGTTCCATGCTGGATTATCAGCAACACAGTATGTGAATGGTTTGCATGTATACATGATAGCACAATTCTGGTGTACTAAAAACCCACAAACAATTATTTTGGCCTCTCAAGAGCTGACAGGAGAAGCTCTCGTCACTATATAAGTAATACTTAAAATGAATTATGAGTAGAAGATACCAGACATGAATTACCTCTTTCATAGCACAGAAAATATTTGGGTTACTGAACAATGAAGTTTCAACTACAGAGATTACATAACAGCAGTTGAAATAGTAAGAGACCATGAACAGAGAATACATTAAGGATTTCGAAGTAGCAAACAAATGAAACAAACTCCATGGCTTTAGTCCTTAAGCGAACTATACCGACTGAGCGAGTTAGTACCAACTTTTGCAGATAGAGGGTGTCACATGGTCAGTGCAACAAATCCCCACGGCCATTCATTTCGGTTTTCTAGACCGGAACCGCTACTTTCCTCACAAGGCTGAGCGGACCCCGTTCCAGACCAATTACTTCCCAGAAAATCTGGTAGCACCGGGAATCGAACCGGGACCTCTGATCTGTAGCCAGGAACTCTGACCACTAGACCACACAGGCATTGGAAGTAGCAACCTTGGTCTATTTCAAGGCCTTATTATATCATCTGCTTCTGGAAAGAAAAGCAAATCTTAATTTGTTTTCAGAATACATCATTTATATCCACTTTCTTCTCCTCAACTACAAACTTGACAAAAAAAGATCTATGTTACCTGAAGACACACTGACTTTGTTGCTTCAAACTTATGCAGAATTCTAAGGCATCCAGAGAGGTTACAGTATCCAAATGTGCCACCCAGTGATTCAGAGTTCTTACTGCATCATTCCATTCATCCCTATAAAATGCACATTTGCATAATAAAATTTTCACGATGGTGAGACAGAAAACAAATCATTTTCATATGATTACCTTGATCACTTTTGTTTGTTCATTAATTTTCTTCCAGAAATCAATTAACGATCCTATAACATAAGAAAAGGTCAATGTAGAGTCAGACTTCAGGAGGAATTCTTGGGTATTTCAATCTGCTCAACCAACAGGTTAGGTATTACACTGCCAAGCCCTGTCATACATCTGCCTGCTAGAAATGTCAAGGCTAGGCCCTGTGGTGGTAAATACTGTTGCACAGAAAAACCCACAATACTTTCCTCAAATGAATTTTGATCAAAAACAGAAATATTTCATGTGAAAGTCCATTCTTTCCTCTGAACATCAGTCACATTTGATGCCATCTATTATAGAAATGCTAAACCAATTAACTAAGAGGCCAATCCCTTTAGCTATGATGATTTTCATGCAAGTACCCTGAACCAATCTAGTGGGTATGTAGCGAGCAAAGGGTTAATACCACTACCACCTCTCCTAGCCTAGATACTAATTAATACCCTTGTACTTTGTTCATGATGACTATACACATGGACAAGGCATCTGGTGTGACAAGCGAAAAACCTATTTCTCAGGGAGCCAACACGAACAGAGATTCTGCACCCCATTTATCACAGCTTAGTATAACCACTATTACAACAAAAAATAATTGTATCAATGTATGCTTATATTAAATGGAAATTTCATTAGACTGTACATGTTGAAATCTCTTGGGTGATCCACTATGTGAAGAGAGAATTAAGGGGTAAGAGAGGCAAGATACTTTCATGAACAATGACCAGTCTGCAAAAGTTTGGTTCGGAGATTCTGGATCATCCATCACACAGTCCTCATCTGGCCCCAGCTGACTACCACCTGTTTGGGCCATTGAAAAAACATCTTGCAGACTGTTAATTCAAACCAGATTTTGGGTCCATGGAAGCAAAATGTTTGTAACTCCAGCAAAGGATATACAGTTCTTCCAAGATAGCATCAGTAAACTGCTGTATTGATAGGACATCTCAGTGTACTGGGAGTTAAATGGAAACGTGATTTCAGTTTGGACTACAATCCTGAATGTGTAATACACTGGCTTTATGTATTATCTGAGAGAAATTCTATGGAAGTAACTTTCCGACTTCACTTCATAATATCCAACACTTTGTAGACTGTCTGTAACTGCATTAGAAGGGGTTGAAGCAATGAGTGATGTACCCGCATGTCGCGTTTACATTCAAAGAGTATGCTTTTGGCTGTCTTTCAGTGGTCTATGCTGCGACAGTCATGAGCCTGCTCAGTGGGTATAAATATTGACACCAAGAGTGAAGAGATTAGTGTGTAGGGTTTGTAAATTGTGTAAACTTGCAACAGTGTTAAAATTAATTGTAGTTACAAACTGTAGGTTGTTAATGAAACCAATTAACAAACCGAATGGCATCCACAGTAGCCCGAACACACTACAATGTGATATGTGGCCACATTCTTTGCCACATCAACCCCTGAAGACAGATAAGAGACAGTCTCTGAAACAGATACTAATTCCATCTTCATATGACTGATCACCTGAGAATACTTCACTGAATGTATGTATACTTTATTGCTTTACTGATATGCTAACTGCCTGCTGTCCTGCTGTAAGAAACACACACACAATTATGATATGCACAGTGCTTATGGCAACTTCTCCACCTGGAAGACAATAAGAGGCCATCAGTGTCTTGCTAGCTACAAGGCATGAACATTTACATTCACTGCATAATCATCATAAACAAAATACACATTTGAATCAGTTATGTAAGAGGAATTTTGTCTTACTTTTCATCTTCTGGTAGACAAACCAGCTTCGCCTGGCAGTATTCTTTGGCATTATTAACAATGGTTCTTCTGCATTCTGAAGAGATCATATCCACACCACATTCAGAGAAGCATGTCCCCTTAATGAAACTGAGAATATCTGCTGCTGTCATTTTATTGAAATGTGCAGTGCACATGTCATATTGTTCAAGCCACTCTTTGGTTGATACAGGAACAGAGGTGTTCGGAATCTGTTAAAGTCACAATAATAGTTCAATAACTTTTATTTTACCTTTGGCTTTCTTGGTGTAAAACTCGTTTTTTCACTAAGAGCGTATAAGAATAAATAACTGAGGATAAATGGGGAGAAAAATGATATAAGGAGCAGCTTCACAATTCATATTCTTCACCTACAATTCTTAGAAGAATTAAATCAAGACAGATTAAATAGACAAAATGTTTTAGTTGTGGGGGAATCAAGAAACTTAGGCTGAAAGGACCACTTGGAAGATCTAAGATTCAAATTGCAGGATAATATCAAAACAGACCTTAGATAAAACGAAAAGATGTGAAATGGACATATTTGGCACAGGACAGAATACAATGGTGACTTTTGTGACACAAAAATGAATCATGTGGATTGATGGAGGCAGGTGATTATTTTATTGACCAAATAATTATAAACTTCATAAGGAAGATCCTAGTTCATGGAGTTAATAATTTTAACTGTTAAAATTTGTGTCATATTACAAACATACTGTAACGTGTCTGGAATCCAGAAGTCACTTCTATGGAAACGCTAGAACAGACCGTTGCATAAGAAGTAACAATAGCGATACTGTAATTCCAACAGTGAGCTGTTGTATCGAGAACATCGAATCTCCACGGTAACGACAAACAAAGCAACGTCTCCATGGTTATAACAGAAGGTTCATTTTCCTAGCAGCGGCGAGGGTATAAATAGCCTAGCTTTGATGAGAAGCCTTCAGTCTCGGAACAGGCCTCGAAGAAGAAGCTTCGGAATATCCGTCTGGGTCCAGCATCGCCGGAATATTGTGAGCAGTGATTGTAACACTGCAAGTGAAAATGCCTGTAAAGTGTGTGTAAGTGAGCGAAGGGAATAAACTCGCTATATCAAACCACGGCGTGAACTTATTTGTGACGTTATACGCCCAACACGTGACAACTGGTGTCAGAAGTGTTACGAACTTAAACACGCCAAAAAAAAAAAAAAAATTGAATTACTGTTCACCGAGTATTCTACTGCGACAAAATGGAGCAAGGCTTTCAACTAATAATCGAAATGCTGAAAGAGGCAGAAGCCAATAGAAAAGCCTACATGGAAGAAACGGAGGCTGATAGAAAAGCCTGGCGGGAAGAGATGGCTGCCTGGTGAGAAAAGATTGTCGCAGAAACCGAAGCCACCTGAGCAGAAACAAGAGCCATCCAAGAAAGGACGGCCGCCATGCGAGAGAAGAGGTTGCAAGCCAATATGGATGCCTGGCAGAAAGAGACGACAGCCTGCCAAGACGTACTGGAGCCAGTCTCAGTGAACACGAAACCTGAGGCGGCAGAGCATCAAGAGGTCCCCGTGGAAGACGCCGCGAGAATACCGGTCGGAGAACCGAAGAAACGGCGTAGGGACCAGAAAGATTGGTCCTGAACATTTTGTTTCTTTGATTAGCAACCAGATTGTAGGATCTATTTAGTTACTAAGAATGCAATCTTCTGAGTTTTAACACCATGTAGTTCAGAGCGAACTCAATGTTTCAGAGGAACATACTGTCTCCATCTTCAGGTTTGAGGAATAAACCAAGCATGAAACAAACATATTTATTTACTGTTTATTTAATTATGCTATCAGCAGCTCAGATTAAATAGTGTCAAACAGTAGAATGATAAAAGAAATATGAACTGGAAAAGTTATGCAAGGAAGTGATCTTGGCCTATTTTAAGGTATTATCCAGGCATTCACCTGCAGAGACTGAGGAAAACCATAAAAATCTCAATCAGGACAGCCACCATTCCAGCCAAGATTCAAAACAGGCAACTTCCAAATACAAGTCACAAGTTTTACTGTCATTATAGGATAAAATGTCACAAATATGGCCCATGACTGACGTTTTTCTCAGAATTCCTTCTTTCCAAATGTTAATTTATTTTAAATTGAGTGCATTTACATCCCACCCTTGACCAAGAACATCTGAGTTGTGGTAGTCTGGTCTACTGGGTCTCTGCAAGGCAGGCAAGGATGTAGGAATCACCTTCTCAAGAGGTAACATTGTCATGATAAGAGTCCCCTGTGCCCCACACTGATATGATACTCTTCAAGATGTTGGCTGGACAAGGAGACCCACAGCTCTATATGGACTGTAAATTATAGTGAAGCCTGGTATTCCCCATATACACAAAGTACTGACTTTGTTACCTCATAAGACAATTCAGACACTTTAAACTAAACTTTCACTAACCTGATATAAAACTGGAGTTTCCTCCATGCCAGATATACTAGTATTCTGCCATGATTAACATCTTCTGGAATTAAATACTGTGGATTCCAATTATTAGGGTCACCAGTTAATTGAAGCAAATCCAGAAGAACAAAAACAAATTGAGACTGTAACCAAAATTTTCTCCACATATTTGGGACGTGCCTTTTAATTGGGTCCGTAGCTGCCTCATGGTGCACTTGTGATTACTAGACCATTAATGAGTCACTGACTCAGTATAAATGAATACCTAGCTACAGTTGCTCTCCATCTTGCAGCAACTGTGTCTGTGAGTCTAGTGTGTTGTGTAAAGTGATTTTTTCATTTAAAACTTTAGATCCCTACAGGATCTCCCTACTAGGAGAGATTTAACACTTGCTGACAAAATTGCCTTACTTGAACAAATTACAAGCCAACCACATGAAACCAGTTATCATCAACTGGCAGAGCTAACTGGAGTGCCAAAATCTCCATTTGTGTGCATTATACAGCAGCAAGAAAATCTGAGGCATGAATGGACATTACGCCATGGACAACAGGGAACTCCCCAGAAATGGAAGTGTGACGGTAAGGATCCAGATGCTGAAGAGGCCTCCCAATGAGTGGTTCTCTGTTGTTACTAGATGAGGTGTCAGAGCAGTCAGAGGCGTTAGCTAAAAAGATAGGTCATAATTTCAAAGCAACAGACAGTTGGTTGTCTTGGTGGAAATGTAGGTTTGGGATGAAATGCAAGAAGGCACATGGCAAGAAGGCCAGTGCTAATGTTGTAAATGTTGAACAATGGAAATCCACAAAGCTGCGAAACTTCAGACATTTTGCACAGATGATAGCTATAATGCTGATGAAAGCCACACTGGATGGTTCCCTATGCTACAAACACACAGCTCTATCAGATTCAAAGAAGGCTATGGATTGTGTTACTGTGTTGTGCTCTTCAGACATATCAGGAACTGATATATGGAAGTTGTTAATTATTGGGGAAAGGGCTAAGCCTCAGTGCTTTAAGGGGATTAGCATGGACAGTTTACCAGTTCTGTACTACGCTAACAAAAATGCGTGGATGACATCTGAAATTTCTGAGAAAAGGCCAATGAGATGGAACATGGAATTACAATGGAAATCGAGGACAGATTTATGGGTTCTTCACAACTGTGCACCACACCCTCATTTAGATTCTTTGAAAAAATATATAGAACTGGAATTTCTGTCTCCCACCACCACATCCCTAGTACAGCAAAAGGGCATGGGAATCATAAAAAATTGGAAGCCCTTATATCACGAAAAGTTGGTAAACTACATCCTTGAAACAATTCAAGAAAATCTACTGACATCATCTGCAACAGCTAAGGAGGTCAGTGCAAGGACTGACCTTTCACAATCAGCACAATTTAATGCTGATAGTTGGCGAAGAGTAAGTATCACGATCATTCAGAACTGCTTTGCTTAAAGTTGTTTTAAACAGTCAGACTTTTGAGATGCTGAATAAGGCTGACAGTAAAATTATGTCATATTGAAAATGCACTGCTTCAGAAGTTACAAGGAAAATTCATGCATCAACAACAGACTTCACTGTTATAATGAAAATGAAGACAGTGAGGAAGCAATTGTTGAATAAATTACAGTGAAACACCAGAAGACATCAGATAATCACGAAACCAACAAGGACAACAGGACTGAGTGTGAATGAGTGACTAACCACAATGCTATGAAGTTTATTGGACTACGACTTCCTTTCATGCAGGAAGGCAATGAAGGCAGCACCATATCTGCACTAGAAACCTACACTGATTTTGTCCAGTGGCAGTCCATCGAGAACACAGCAGCAAACACTGGATCAATTCCTCCACCATCATTAACTGCTGAGAAATATATGCAAGTTTAATATGTAAATGAATCCAATCTGTTTTTACAATAAATATTTTTCTGTGATTTTCACCCACTGTTTCAGCTTATCTAAAGCCAGTATTTTTGTTACTCAATAAACAGAAAGCTTATATTTTGTCTTATGTACATTTTTTAACCCTTTATGTGCAACTTAGCATCGAGGAGGATGAGGTGGGCAGGGCATGTAGCACGAATGGGGAAGAGGAATGCATATAGGATATTGCTGGGAGAGCCAAAAGGAAAGAGGCCACTTGGAAGACCAAGGCATAGGTGGGTGAACAATATTAAAATAGATCTGAGAGGGAAGGGATGGGATGGTACGGATTAGATTGAACTGGCTCTGGATAGGGACCCGTTGAGGGGTCTTGTGAGCACGCTACAAACCTTTGGGTTCCATAAAATGCTGGGAAATTCTTGAGCAGCTGCACGTTTGGCTTTTCCTCAAGAAAGGCTTAGTTCCATAAGTAAGTAATTTGCAACTTAGCACATTTGGGCAGCCACTTAATTGGAGCAAAGTACTCTAGTCGAAATGTGTCCCAATTAACCAGAATCCACTGTACCAACAATTTCACCACACCATACGGTATGGTTATACTTCACCAGAGCCAAATCTGAGACAAGAGGGGTAACTGTATGATAGTGAGGTTGGTGATGAGACAGCAAAGTCTGCATATCACACTCTACACCCTTCACATCCCACTTCTGACTACAGGATGACACAGCTTTCTCATGTGTTATCTACATGTGCTCATCAGTCACAGCAACCCAACATGCTTTTCGTGTTTACTGTTCGAAACGATCTACCTTAAAAAACTCCTTCTGAGCCCAAGCTGAGTATAGTTCTCCTGCTTGAACTGTACACTTGAGCGACACTGGCATACTCTTCAGCAATTTGGCCATTAGTCCAACATTATGCCTTTCCAATGCAGGCAAAAGAACTTCTATAAGACTGTCTGGTGAATCCACCATCTTCTTGTAATCTAGATCTATGGGGAAAAATTAAGCACTTTTATTTAACTTTATTAAATATGAAGGACGTCAATACTTCAATATAATTTTTTGAAATGTAAATTATAGTGAGTAGAACATAGTAGACACATACATTACTATGAAGTCACATAAATTGGGAAGGAATGATACTTTACATTGTCAAAATTAAAGTGCTGGATAATGCAGTCTCACAAAATATGAAGTTCTCACAGCCTCGGCTATGAACTATGAGTTATGGAATGCTAAGCTGTGTAGTCCAGCAGATGTTTACTGACACTCTGGATGAATGTGCTGCCTGCATCTTCAGGGTTGGAAATGAAAGCAACATATTTCTCCATAACATCGGTAACATCTATCACAACACATGTTGTCCCATCCCAGACCTTCGGTGGGTCTTGCTTGAATATTGTGGTGTTATAGACCTGTTGCTAGACAAAGACCTTGAAACAAATGTATCAAATGTAGCATCTAAAGCCATTGTTATGCAATAGACCAGTGATCCACCACCGGTGTGTCGCGGGCGTGACGCAAACTTTTACTTATTGTAAGAAATTAATTGTTGAATTTTATTTTATCCCAGTTACCATGCTTCATATGCTTGTATTTTATTCTCAGCCACTGCACTGATTAAATAAGGTGATGTTTGTTTATTCTTTATTACATGCTGTGATTTTTTATGTACAGTAATGTTGTATTCTAAGAAATTAAATGTAAATTATTTACTCACAATTGTTATATCATAGTTTTCATTATTGATTTATTTTTATTTTTCTCGCATCTGCGTGGCTTCTTTGATATACTTGCCGCATGTTCTATGTACGTGCTTCTCCCTAAAACCGCAGGGATTAGCGAGGGTTTCCCTGTCTTTTATTATGTTGTTTTGCTATTTGCCCCTGTTGTTAGAAGTTAGAGCTTCTTCAACTTTATGACTTTCTTGCTGTAACGATGCACCCACTGATTGTTGGACTTCATTTAAAATTATAAATATTTCAAAAATAAGTCGGTATATGTGTCACTTCTTCCGTTCGAAGAGTAGAGAGGTCCCGCATCTTACAAACTGTTTCAGTTCTATCACAGCTGTGCTCTGAAGTAGTTTGAAGTAGAATCAGAACACACTACACTCCTACTACATACAGAAGTATGGTGGTTATCATAAGGAAAAGTGTTAACATGAATATTTGAACTTAATGAGGGGGTACGTGTATTTTTTACTTTTGAGGGGCATGAGTACACAGATTTATTTGCAGATGATGTATGGGTATGCAAGTTGGCGTATATTTCTGATATTTTCATACACTTGAATGAGCTGAACAGAAAGATGCTAGGTGGGAATGAAAATATTCTAACTAATATGGATAAGATACAAGGATTTGTAAATAAGCTGAATTTGTGGATACAAAGAATTACATATGGGCCGTTTGAGATGTTCCCAACTGTATGGCCACTTGCTGACGGCAATAAAGTGGTGATGGACACAATTAAAGAACATTTAGAAATGCTGCAGGACAAATTCAATAAGTATTCTGGAGAGAGTGTACAAGATTTCGACTGGGTTCATCCATTGCGAATTCAGAACATCTTCCGATTAATATACAAGAGGAACTCGCAGATTTAAAAGCAGACACAACATTGAAACTAAAACTTCTTGAAGTGCCTTTGGATACATTTTGGTTGGCAATCAGTAGTGAATACCCAGCTATCTCCGAGATGGCAGTTAATGTGTTATTGCCATTTTCAACTACATATTTGTGTGAACTGGGCTTCTCGACGTTAACTGAAACTAAAACATCAAAGAGGGAGCGGCTCAAATCCATCGATGAAGAAATGAGACTTGCGTTGTTAACGATTCCACCATGGATCAGTCATCTGTGTGCAGCTAAGCAGGTGCAAGTATCACATTGAAGTTATGAGTAGAATTACTGTATTTACTTAATAGTAACAGAAGTGTATTTTCTACACTATACAGTGAATTAAAGTTCATTAATTGTTAATAAATGCATGAGTTGATTTCTGTTTAATGATAATAAAATAACAATATAATAATATTATAATAATAAGGTGATCACGTTACGTATTTATATTAATTGTCTGATATGCGTTTTTGACGGGAATAACATTTTGGTGTGCCGTGTTGAGTCATGGATACTTCATGGTGTGCCGCGAGCAGAAAAAGGTTGCGGAAGAGTGCAATAGACAAATAAACAATTGTGTTATAACCTGTTTCTAGGCAATGAATTGGGAAACATGTTCCCACAGCAACAAATACCAACACAACAACAGTCACTGTTGGAAGTGGCGTTTTCTACTTGGTCTGCACAAAGTTGTAATAAGGAAATCAACTGGTGCAACCCAGCTGGAAGCCTGGCTGTGTTGCAGTTACAGTGAGACTGTTATAATTACTGCGTTAAAATCCACTGCCAGGATATGACTAGGGAATGCTGGAGAAGACTTGGTGTGCAGTGATTTGTAAAGTGTAGAAATCAGTGATATGTGTTATAATTATTTGCATTACCTGTAAGTGGACAATAAATCGAGTTACCAAACCAAACCCCATCTAAAGTCATTCATACATGTGACAATACGTTGTAAGAACAATGAATAAAGTTACTGATATGGAACCAAAAGAAAAGGTGCACATATTTTCCAAATGTATTCTTTTCAACTGTGTATATCTCAATGACCTTGAAGTTAGTTTCTTGCAGAAGCAAATCTACTGTAAAGCTATTTTACAATATATATCACACTGCACAAAGTAATGAATTATTTTTCCTTATATTTCATTACACGTGAACCATGTTGAAAATGTTCGAAATAAAAATTTTAGATTTTAATTAAGTCTACTTCTAATGGAATGTACAGATTTTTTGTTGATTTGAAGGGATCTGATGATGGTGTATAACATTCAGAATTACTGCTTTTTTTGGATTCTGTCCATTGTCCAAGATTCTAAAAAAATTGCAGAACACATGTTTAAAAAACTGGATCTGTTTCCATCCTCAGGTGAGGGGGGAAACCTAACTTTTATTGACATATTTTCGAAAGATTCAGTATCTATATACTACGATCCTGTCCTGCATTCTGATGATGAGACATGATGTTATAGTTAGATTTCCATGTGCTTCACTTTCGGATCAACCTTCTTACTGACATCTAATAGATTTTCTGTTTCTCCTTACAGAATTTATGTTTCAAGATCACAAATTCACATATCAGAATCTGATGTGTCCCATTAAATTGTCATCTCCTCTGATTTTCTTGGACCTTTACAATAGTGCATTAACAAGCAAAGTTCTAAGCAATGTCCTTGTTTCAGACCATTCCAAATAAAAAATGAATCAGAAAAATATCTTTCTTATCAGATATTACAAGAGGTAAAGGTGGAGCCGTCTCTGTAACAGACCATGAAGGCCCACAGGATTATGAGATGTTAAGGCTCCCACATTTTTCTAGACAATTGGCTCACAGAACAAATTCTAATTAAACTAACTACATTCAAGGAGATATGAAAATTCACTGAGAATGTCATACAGTACTCCTCTAACTCTAAATGTCACAGAGATCATCAGAGCTTGCTTACTAGGTGATGTTGCCTTCACTTTTCGAAGTATCTTAATGTGTTCTTTGGGTGTTAAGCTGTGTGTTTTATAATCTTCTGCAATGGACTGAAGTACAGAGTAGTACATCACAAGCAACTGATGATCAGTTCCCTCTATGTCTGGGTATGCATACTGCTCCAGTCTGAAAGTACAATTCCAGTAATTATGTTCTCATCATGACTAATTCCTTCATCTATAGCTCAAATGGTATAATGATGGACTATAGGCTGGACAGCCCATACTCATACTCATACTCATACTTGAGGTTTGAAGTTAGGCAGGGAAAGATTTACCTCTTCTCTACAGTGCCCAGGCTGGTGCTGGGGCTTACCCAACCTCCTAATCAATGAGTACCAGGTAAAGTGGCCGAGGCATGAAGCTGACCACTCACCTTCATCTAGTGCCAAGGTCAAGGATGGTGGAGGTATACCTCTACTCCCCTATATATCTTCATGGCATTGTGCTTAACTAATTTGAGTGCCTAAATGATTGCTACCTGTCACACACAATGTGTGTGGAGTTCTTAAGAAGTTCAGTCAACTGGGGGTTAGTAAGGTGTGCCATCAGCTCTGACAGTTGAACTCCTTCAGTACTTAGTAATAATGAAGTGACATGTCTTGCTGCAACTTCTGCAAGGGGAACCCCATGTCTGGATGCAAGCTTCACAGCAAGGAAGAATTTCTGTGTATCAATTGTCCTGTAAAACAGATGGAAAGCTCATGACAAAATGAAAATATTTTCATAATTCATATTATTCCTTTCTGATCCTACATTCAGCTGAGTCCAAACACTTAAAACAATCATGTCAAAGAAACTGGATACAGTGGGTTGTCACGTGATGAAAGGAATGAACCTAAAAAACACTAATGTTCCAGTAGAATAAAGTATAGCTGCATTTTGGTATAATAAATAAAATTAGGCACAGCATACATGAACCACACTGAAGAATTCTATCATTTTTATTTACAAACATTACACTACAATTTTTGAAGGCGTGACAGTGCTTCCATCACAGACCTACAGCCAGCTATGTGCACAAAGTTTCCCCACACAAGGGTTCCTGATACAATGAAACACCTATTTAGGGTCTTTTAGGAAAAATGGATTTGAACATTAAACTGAAGGAAATCTTTAATGGAGGTACTTTAATAACACTGAGACTACTGACTTGAGTTTATTGAAATTGTGCAACAAATGAGGGAAAACCTCAAACTTAGGAACATTAAATGGAGGTTCCACTGTATTTTTTTATACTTTTGTATCATCAGCTCAAGATTACATACCATAATAACCATGTCTAATGTATTACTATGTAAAACTGTAACTGTTCAGCTAATCTGCAAGATAATCAGACAGGACTGTAAACAAAATATTCATTAACACTGTACACATTTCATAACTTCAAATATTTCTATGTTACACACCATTCACCCAAATATTTTAGATAAACTTTCTTGTCTGAATACTCCTGTGACTGTTCCCAAACTGCAACAGACCTATCATCCCCATGACACAGCAGTCTCATTTTGTTATGTATATCCTCACTACATTCAAAAGCACTGCAATGCAAATATATCCCAGCTGGTCCAACTGAGGAAAACCACAATGAACCACAGTCAGGATAGCCAGTGTTCTGGTCAAATAGTTACTGCTTGAGTGAACTTGCTAGGTGAACACAAATGAAAAATTGATACTCCTTTTACTAGCATTATGCACTTTCATTATTACAACCATATATAGTACAGTAATGCAGAACATTTATATGGCACCTATATTGGTTTGAAAATGTACATTTCATTCTTGACACAGTCAACACTGAAATAACTTCTATAAATTGTTATTCAGTGACAAAATAATGTGTACATTAGGGTATTTTTTTTTGTTGGTTTGATGATCACATTCTTATGCTACATCAGAAATTAGTTTCTGCAGTACTGAGTATTTGCATCAATTTATTTTTTTTAACAGCTGATCAGAAAATTTTCATCAAGGTCTGGCCCAGGAAACAAAAGGAACAACTAAGCATCCATCACAATTATGCTCAGCTTGGCTGATAAATGAGAAATAATGCGAATATCTATACTCCACATTGTAGTCCAATGCCATATCATCATACTGACAAAAAAATTAAGATAAAATTACTTTATAACTTGCCAAATTGCTCCACAATTGCTCCTGAGCAGCCTGTAGTTTTGTTGTTCAATCAATTTCTTGCAGCTATAATTTCTAACTTGACTATAATCATCACGAAAGCATGTCACTGCATCTTATCTGGGTCCACTGTCACAAGTTCATATCTTTGTACCTTCACAATCTACCTCAATTCATTGATACCTGAAACCTTCATGGTGAACATACAACTATTTACATACTTACATGGCCAGGCCCATGATTGAGTCCTGCTGGTACTGTGTATCTTGCGTGAAGCGCTGCACATCGATACCACATCCCAAAGCTATTAGTTGCTCTCCATGTTGGAAGTCAACTAGTAATTTTTGGTATTTCAGTAGGAACTGAGCCCACAGTTCCATCACTTCATATTTTGATGCCAGTTTAGACATATGCTCCACTAACTGCACAAGGAAAGAAACATTCACATACAATAAACCCTCATTCAACGATATTCTAGGTAAATCCATGCTGGACAAATTTAACACCTGAAGAATGAAATGGGGAGATGTGAATGGAACCACATAAAGTCTCCCATTAATACAGACATATGTAGATTTCCTTACATTCACAAATGAATAGTGTTACCTATATATGTATATATGTGGATCATTTCATAAATAATGCACAGGTAGGCAACACTGCGGATTAGATGACACAACAACAGTGAGCCTCACATCAGTTACAGTTCAGGGCTTGAGAAAGAAGCTTGTTATTTTATTTCATTTATAATGTACTCTGTTCTTAAATAACATGAGTTAGAAATGGAGCCTGCATGGTTCTCGGGTATTGTGACTGTTGAAGATCAAAGGTCATACATTAAGATCGAAACATTATGTGGAAAAAACCCAACAGAAATCCACAGTGCTTCAAGTGAAGTTTGTGGCGAGTTAACAGTGGACCGTAGTACAGTTTCTCACTGGGCTAGTCATTTTCGTGGTGGTTGTGTGAGGAAGGTCAGGAAGGCCAAAAACATCAACAGATTAATGAAGTATGAAACTTGTGTCAGATGCTCTTGAAGAAGATCGTCGTGCGACGTGAGTAACTTTCTGAAACCACGGGGATTCCACCAATGTCAATATCCCGAATTCTGACAAATGATTTAAAGAAGAGAAAGATTTCTGCGTGATGGGTCCCTCACTGCTTGACTGCTGAACAGAAGCAGAAACGCCTCGATATTGCAACCTTGCTGAAACAAAGATTCGACATTGAAGGGCAAGCATTCTCGTATCGACTTGTCGCTATTGATGAAACGTAGGTTAGAGACTTTGAACTGGAGCTGAAATCACAGTCCAACGAGCGGAGAGGTCCATCTTCCCCATGACCAAAAAAATTTTGACGATCTCAATCAAAGGTCAAACAAATGATGATCTTTGCTTATGATCACCAAGGAATCATCATGACAGACAGTTCCGTGTGGGAAAAGTGTCACAGCAGTTTATTATCGTGACTTTATGCAAAATCTGCGCAGGAAAATGCACAAAACTGACCTCAGTTGCTTGAGGGTGGGGCAATTATTCTCCATGACAACGCTCGTACGCACGTTGGGAATGTCGTAACAGAAAAGCTGTGCCAATATGGTTGGGAGATGTTGCCTCATGCTCCCTACAGCCCAGACATGAGTCCACCAGACTTCGACTTATTCCCAAAGTTGAAACAACCTATGCGAGGCCGTCGTTTTCGCTCTCTGGAAGAGCTTTCTGCTGCAGTTACCTTAGCCATTTGACAGATAAACAAAGTTGGTGTCCTGGATGGAACAGTAAAGTTTCCCACACATTGGGACTGGGTCATTGAGAAGTTGGGGGACTATATTGAAGGACTGTAAAGATATTAAAAAAAAAATAAACAGGGACGTAAACAAAGAATTGTGTGCATTATTTCTTAAATGACCTACGTATATATAGAATTTTTATTTCATATACAATGAATATGAAAGAAGACCACAATAAAAAAATCATAATAAAACCAAACACATTATGACATTCACACATAATGAATGACAGATATACCTATTGTGTGTTGTGACGTTTGCTACCTATGAATAATTATGATAATGACTTCTTTTGTTGTTGTTGTTGTTGTTGTTGATGATGATGATGATGATGGATTTGGAAGCATAACGTTCAATTGTTTGAGGCCAAAGGATATGACATTCACATATAATGAATGGAAAATATATGTACTAAACTCTATATTGTATTGTTATGTTGGGTACCTATGAATAATGATGATGACTTCTGCTGTTGTTGATGATGATGACAATGATAACAACACATTTGGAAGCATACCATTTGTTTAGAGCCAAGAGATCATCAGGTTCAAGAAATTTGACCTCGAAACTCAATTAAAATAAATACAAATGCAGCCACAGTGCTATGGATATGTTTGGCAGACTGCATATATTTAAATTTTCTGCACCTGGCAAATCATTGGTTTTATTTGTTTTTGCATATATAAGCAAATCTGCATTGGACAGGGGTTCACTATATTGCAGTTGCCCCTCAAAGTAAAAAATCAAATTTCAGAGTCATACAAAGCAAGTAAAACTCTTGTTTTACACCTTAATCTACAACATTTAAGGAAATGAACAGGGTGAAATCAGTTCTTAACCGCACAGTAACAAGCATATCATGCAGTCATTCTCATCTTAATTTCATAATTAACTTCACTTAAAAGTATATTTGGTACAGTGGAACCTTGCTTAACGAGCATAATTCATTCCAGAATCTTACTCGTAATGCGAAACACTCGTTAAGTGAAACAATTTTTCCCATATAAATTAATGTAAAATACGATAATGCGTTCCATGCCAAAAAAATACTCAAACAATTTTATGTATAACGTATATTCAAAGAAAATTATATATACACTGTCAAGGAGCGTGAATCATCTTCATCTTTTCTCCTATGCAGAATGAACCAACTTGGATTGCGAATTTGATTTGCAGAAAAAAAAATCAAAATAATTGGTTTATTGTTTATGATATATCTAATTCTTTTTTACTAGAAAGCTGTCTAGAGACATTTGTTATTGCCAACGCTTCAAAATTTGGTGAAAATGCGACACAGTATTATCATTAAATAAATTTGTATCGCGCATAGCCACTGCCTTATTAGGCTGATGCTTCTCAGTGTATGATGCAACAGTATCGCATGCTTTCAGCATTTCTCTTATTGCGCCAAAAGATTGTTGCTTTGCTGTTACCTCCTCCTCCTCCTCTGACAAACTCTCCTAGACAACTTCTTGCTGTGAAACACAATGCAACTCCAAATCATTGATGTAGACAGACTGTATGTGCATGCTAGATCAGCCACGCTCTCACCTCATTCTCGCTTTTCAATGATTTTACGTTTCATTTCTACGGTTATTTTTATTCTCTTATGGCTGTCTTTTTGCGGCTTTTTTTTTCGGGGACATTTTTGCAAGGGTTATTAAACTTTGAAAAAAAAAAATCACAAATAATGTCTGAACACAAGTTTGGATAAACGTGTGATCCAAAGCGACACTAAGATGCTAGCAGAACGAGTGCTAAACACAGACTGATGTAGCAAGCGCACAATCCGGGACTTCCCCTCTCGTCACTTGTTATGCGAAACATCACTCGTTAAGTGAGTCATTTTTTTACAATTTGTTTTGTTCGTTATGCGAATTACTTGTTATGAGAGGTGCTCATTAAGCAAGGTTCCACTGTACTGTGTTCCCAGATACTTAAATTTTTAAACACTTTTAAATGATTTGTTATGAAGGTTACATTATGACTACTGTACTGAAGAGTGTGGTTTTATGGTAGCACTTTTATATATTTAGTTTCTGAAATCAGCTATGACATAAATGAATCTATCCACCCTAGGATTTTTGGCACCATATACAAAAGGTATTTTCCTCCCATTAATAAACTCTTCAAATGCTGTATTTCTTAATAATAACTGGGGTTTTAATCAATTTCACATTTCAAAATAATAAAAGGAAAATTAAAGAAACTTAATACAAGAGAGATATGAAAAAACAAAATAGTAACTGTGTTCATTATTGTCTTATGGGATGTAATGCAATGTAGTTTGGTGGATAGGAACAAAAATTAAAGAGGTATGTGCTGCATTTTTCTTCAGGATAGAAGAGTAGCACGGTCTGTATATGCAACTGACCTTATGCTATGCTATTCCTTCTATCCTGGGATGGAGGCAGCACATTCCTCAGAAACAGTGGTACCTATCTACCAGACTACATAGTACCACATGCTGGAAGACAACAATCTTCATAGTCACTATGGCGAGAATCTCAAATATCAAGTCTTGTTAAAATGTGACTTGTATATTCACATAGTGACATAGATTCAGCTTGCAGGGGACTGAAAATGGTATCCCTGATATGTCAAGATTTGACACGGGAAGGTTATGTTAATTGATATGACATGTCAAAGATATTTAGGGCCAAAGATGTTGGTTTTGAGACAATATTTAATTTGTGGCATGAAAAATGTTGATATGGTACAGACCAACCTTCATGTTCTTCATACCTCATTTGGAGGATAAAGGTAAAGATCTCGTTCTCTGTTCATGTCTTCTGTTGGAAGACTGTGTAGCAGTTTGTAACCTTGAATAGCATAGTAGTACATAGCCAGTTGCAATGACATGGATGTACATGACATACTGTTGAAACAAGAATTGGATAATGTCAGATCCTGCAGTGGGACGATATGCCCAAGGCCCAAACAGCTGTCTTCAGCAAGAAATTGCTCGGCAAGCTGCAATAAAACTGAAAACATAGCAAATCATACAACTGCATTATACACAGTAAATATTTCTGAGTTCCTACAGTTACATGACCAGGGCTGTTACCTGATGTCTTTCAGTTCTCACTCTCCACAGCATAGTCATCTGGAAATGACTGATGTATAAGACATAACATGTGTTATTTTATAAATACTTACAACTTTAATCATGACAATTCTCTCAGAAGATTAGCCAAAAATGTATTTAGGCCCTTAAAATTAATTAGTGACTGGAACTCCCATACGTTAGTGCCCATAATAAAGGTCAGCTTATAATAAGCACAAGAAAAGGCATACAATCCCAAATCAGCAAATAAGCAAAGATATATATGAACAAAACAAAAAAGTTTAATAACCAAAGCAAAGTTAGAAAATGTTCATGTTTATTGATATTTTATTTATCACACTTTCATTTACACTTACATCTCTATTACAGTGTTAAAGGTAAATGCTGTTACCATTAGTACAGTCACTGTATGTCCCTTCTGAAGCTGTACCCTGCAGCAAGATGGTGCGAAGCAATGCCTGGCTGAGCTGCACAATTGGATTGGAAATGTCTGGCACAGAAAACTTGTCATATTGTGTGCTGAAAGTGCTGATGTGGCATTCAGGTGCAAGTGATGAATAGAACGCTGGGAAACCCTGCGCTGAGATGAGACTATTTCTTTCCATTATTTCATCATCTGACATGTTCCTCTGCATCCAACTGCAACACACAAATAAATTATGCTGTAAGCCAAGAACAAAGCAGCAATATGTATGCTATGCTAAATGAAGTGCCATAATATGTAATGTGACTGAATTGCAATGCCTGTAGCAAAAAGTATAGGAAATTGTAATCTGATCAACATAATGTTGTGCAGCATTCTCTGAGAAACATTATACCAGTACACAAACAGATGTGTCATTACCATGAAGAGATGCTCTTAGATTACAGGTTACATGTCTTCAAATGTGCTGCAATAAGCCAAACATACGACAATCGGCTGTTTAGTGATGAGTACACAGTAAAATACTGACTGTAAAAAATACTTAACACATAGGAGCAACTGTTCAGATATTTACTAAATTCACCAGATTAATCTAATTTAAAAACCATTGTAATCATCTAGGATGTGACAAATTGTAGTTCCATAGATGAGTGCCAGCATTTTGGAGGAATGAGATGCTCTCACCATCCACTCAGAAGATGGAGGAAGCAGGCTCTTACCAACAGTGATACCCACCTACCAAACTACATGGTGTCACATCCCAGACTACAGTTATTTTGATATCACAGTGATAACCTGAAATCTCACTTAACCCGTCAGTGTGGTTCCAAGTAGATACCACTGCTCTATCTGTAGTTCAACAAATGTTTTACAGTGAGCTTAATTTATATGGCACATAAATAAGGAACACATAATGCCTGTGTGATGAATGTATGAGGGATACTTCTTGGCCCCTGCACCATGACTTCCAGTGATCTATTGATATGATCATACTTGACACTATATAATCTCTACAGCTGAAAAGTCATTAAACAACCTAAAAATCTTATAATCAAATACTTGCTGGCACATACATAGGTAAGGACTTTCACATCTCACATAACAAATAAACACACAATTACCTATACAGTACCTGAATGTAGTTTTCCAGAAGCTCTTGTTCCCTATATTTTTCAGAAGTCCATATGTTGCATTTTTGGTCATTTCTGTCCAGTCTTTTACAATATGCACTTGACCAGGGAACTCTCTACATGGGGAAACTGGCTGTAAAATAAAGAAATACCAAAGGAGATGTGTAACTACTGAATTTTCCTTTCTAAACCAAGTTCAAGTGTGCATTCAAATCATTAAAGCTATTTCTTTGTTTGTAACTAGCAAGAAGTTGCAATAATATCCACCAAGGGTGTGTCAGCCCAATGACACTGCAGCAGTATTTAGATGATGAATTGTCTGTCAGTTTCATGGTGAAATCACAGTATAAATGCCTGATAACATTAAGTAAGGAATAATTTCTTTCACAGCTATATCCTTCATTCCTTTTTCTTCTTTTTCTTCATCACTTTTGTATCTTTATCTTGTTTGCTTCTTTCTCCATTAATTTAGTAAATTAAGTTGCATCTTTGTACTACAGATGACACAGATACATACAACTGCCATCTGTGTATGTACCTGAAAACTACTAAACCATAAGAAAGGCATAACATACAGATATAAATTACATAAATAGTCACAAACTGTCTCTCCTGTTATTTGTACATATTCTAAAACTTTATGTTAGCTTTTCCCTGAGTCTACGATATCACAGCTGTAATGGAAGTGGCAACATCTTGCATCGTACAACACAGACTATCAGTCTGCAATAAGCCAGAAGTATCCACACTTGCAACACCAATACTGCAACTTATTCAGGAGCAACTTCACTGTGTGAGAGTTACTTCAGTCCAAGAACTATTCATCTCAATATGTCATGGATTTAACTGACAAGTAAAGTGTGATGCCTTTTGGCTAAACATGAAACCTGCAGTTATTGTATGACATTTGTACACTACCGAGTATAATGTTATACTGTTTCGTGCTTGATTTCAGGAATCTGATATAGCACCAATTGTCTAGAAAAAAGTGAGAGCCTAGACATCTCACAACCCTATGGGCCTCCATAACCTGTTGCAAGGATAGCTTTACTCTTTTCTTTTATCACATGAATTCACAAATGAAACTCAACACTGCACCTTCTAATGTTCTGTACTAGGCTAGTGTCACTAAATGGAGGCATATGGAGTATGTAGAGACAAACCCCAACCCTGGCTGCTCTACCTGAGGTATCTGTTACATACAAAGCTGTATGAACCCCAGTCACCAGTACAGTGACTGAACTATAGTGGCTCGACAGACTCTCTGCATAACATTACTATAAAATATGGTCTGCACATTATTATACAAACAATGATAGTACAATCACATGGCTCCGGCTCATGGTGTGTCACCGCTCATTTGCAATATTGGCCAGGCCACTCACTATCCTGATTGAAGTTTATGCAGTTCTCCTCAACCCCTTCAGGCAGATGCCAGGAGAGTGCACTGAAACAGGTGATTCCTTCCACATCCTTTGCAATTCATCATTCATGGATCACTCTAGCACTTCACACTACAGAGCCTGTGCTACTGACAGCACTGTTGCTCAATAATCCATGAAAAAATAATCATAACAGATACTTGGATTCGTAAGGAAGAAAACACTTTTATAGAGTAATACTGCAACTAATAACCAGGAAACAGTAGTGAGTACTCACTGATGTCAGAGCATCTGCAAACTCTTCCTCATCTGTGGCCTCAGTGTCATGTTTCATTTGGCTGTATATCATGTCATTTAGGAGCTGCACTTGCAGGAAAGACCTGTATAATCACAATGCTCCTTGTAAGTCACTTTTAAATTTTATGAACATCTAATGGTACAAAATTCATATACTACAGAATAACTGAGACTGCCTCTGTGGTCTAGTGGTCACAGTTCCTGGCTACAGATCCAAAGGTCTGGGTTCGATTCCCAAACTACCAGATTTTCTGAGAAGTGGTGTATCTGGAAGAGGGTCCACTCAGCCTCATGAGGATAACTGAGGAGCTATTTCAGGGAAATACTGGCTCCAGTCTAGAAAACCGAAATTAAAGGCTGTGGGGATTCGTTGCACTGACCATGTGACACCCTCTATCCACTAAAGTTGGCATTAACTTCGCCGACAAGCGACGGTCGCTCGGTCTGTATAGTTCACTTTCAGACTACAGGCCACGGAGTTTGTTTTAGTTTTTGTTTGTACAGAATAACTGAAATCACACAGAGTAGAAGAGACATAACAGCTTTTGTTAACATTCTGATTTCATCAGCATGCTTCCTAACATAATAACATACACAGTCAAACAAAGATGTAACTAACCACCTCTCTGGTAGCATAGCATAACAGTTCAGCACAATTAACATCACAGCTTATTATGCATAAAATCTAGGTCAGTTCTGTGCACCTGCCATCAACTGCAGAGTTATAGAACATCAAATGAGCTTTGAGGATAACATAAACGGCGAATAAGTTGGGATTTATACACATATATACTTCCATTTCAAATGCAGCTTTGTGTTTCATGTACTCCTCTTTGCTACATGTTTCAGGCAGACCTGGCCTTCATCAGGCAATTGTTTCTCTTATTAACGATTAGGGGATGGGCCATTTAAATTCCGGTAGTGGCAGCAGGCCGGAGTTAAATGCCCGCCGTTGTAGAGTAATACAAATTGTAATCATGTTACTCAAAATGCTGTGATTTCTATAATTTTTGTGATAAACGAACGAAATAAACGCTGCTTTTATATAGAAAGAATATAGAATAAGATATTGTAATTTACAGATTTTAGAATCTGTAAAAATTGTTACAATTTTGAGCGTCTGCCCACAAAACTGCAGTCAGTTTCTGCACAAAACGTTTCTGCAGTATAAATGCCTGCTGCTGACATCATTCGTACTGGTACTGGCTTATCTTCTAAAGGGGAGGAAATGTTTATGCTTTTATAGCACTCCAACCTTTCTGTATACAGGAGTGAGGTCACGTCCCTCAGACTCTCTGTGTATACACGTATCTACCACGCAAGAAGTACTGTTATGCTTCTTAGAAAGGCCTGCACATGGCCCCTTCCTCTACGTACTTTCAGTCTTATGTACCACATTCTAAATCGGTGACATTTATCAGCTGCCTATTAACTTCGGCTTTTTCCATGCGAAATGGGGCCATGGGGGATAGTTGAAATTGCGATGTTTTATAAGCGTTATGATTAGAGAAGGCAAATCGGCAACACTGGCTGACTACCTGCTAATACGAGAATGATGTTGCTCTGTGTACGCTTCGCGTGGAAAACAGAGTTACATATGGACAAAGTGCATGAATTACGACATCAGACTCTGCATTCAGTTACATGATGCAGGAGGGAAGACAGTCTACTTATAAAGCTGGTGTCCAAAAATAATGTAGAAAGGCCCGCACATGGCCCCTTTCTTCTACGTGCTTTCAGTCTTATGTACCGCATTCTGAATGGTGTGATTTACGAGCGGCCTCTTAATTTCAGCTTTTTCAATGCGAAAAGGGGCCATGGTGCATAGTTGATATTGCGATGCTTTATAAGCGTTAAGAATACAGGAGACCACTCGCCATCACTGACCTACTTCCTGCTAATACGAGACTGATATTTGCGTGTGTGCGCTTCACGTGGAAAACAGAGTTAATTACGGACAAAGTGCATGAATTGCGATGTCAGACTCTGCATTCAGTGACATGCAACATTCAGTTAGATGATGCAGGAGGGAAGACAGTCTACTTATAAAGCTGGTGTCCAAAAATAATGTAAGTAGAACAAGAATTTCTATATTAAAATTGGATTTTAAAACACTGTGCGCACGCGTGGACTGTGAGTCTCCATACGGTGTCTTTCGGCCACCTCGGCTTTACTTTAAAGGTCTCCACACGGTGTCCTTCGGCTCATAAAGGTTAAAATTGGGATTTTCAAGGAGGCAGTCAAGACTTATTCCAAGATACTGTTCCACCATATTAATGAAGAGATTATGGAAAACCATGACAAATTTAAGCTACTGTTTCTTGTTTGCTAACTTTTCAACTGTACTGGAGTTCCTGTTTGGTTACTAGCAAGATAACCTAAGACTTTTATACAAGGTTAATATACAGACCTACTATTGATAAGCAGCTCAATCATATCCATGGGGCAGTACAGTAGAGCAAAGGCAAGGAGGTCACAGCGCAGTTGATAGTTATCAAACTTCTGACACTGACCCAACTTCTGTACCACTTGCCAACCAATGGTATGGCTTTTTGTTATCAGCTGCTGGCATATCTCTGCACAGAAATGATAGTCTTCCACCTGTATAACAGAGATATTTGTAATATGATACTATAAAACATGAATGCATGAACATGCATGCAGACACACATCAACAAACATGCAACCTTATCTTTATTCTGTCTGGTTTGCATACTGTGCTGCTATGTGTACAATACCACAATAACACGGGACATAGACACAAAACAAATATTAAGCACCTAAGTTCTACACTTATAAACATATGAGCAAATGAGAGTATAACCTTTTACACGAGAGAAGTTAGAAGGACCCCCACATGACACATCGGCCCCTAATTTACTAACAACCATGACCGTAAGTACAACATTAAACTATTTTTAGCCTTAGCCTAATTTCCAAGACTGTTTTTAGAAATAAGATTAAAACTAAATATATAATGTGGTAAGTTATTCAAATTAAAGACTTATTTAAATAAACTGTAACAAGTTTTGAAAAAATTGACACACTACATTAATAAATTTATTAATACTAAATAGTAAAATCCATAGTGTAATAGGTTTCAATTACTTTTAATTTCAGACAAAAAACCGTGCATCACTAGGACTCTGCATGTATTATTAGCTTACATTCTCCATAAGGTGTGTTTGCTATAATAATAATAACAGAGAGTAAGATATGGATCCATACTAAGACAACTCAATTCAGGAGCTTTGTTTTCTTGTCACTCACGTGATGATGACCAAGAAATGGTAAAAATATGTAGCATACACCTTAACATAATAAATAAAAAATAGTGATATAGTAGTATCTATCTGTCATCTTGAAGATACTTCAATGTTGTGTCAACAGCCCAATTTACAAGATTAATCTTTACTCTTTAGGAATTTTAGATGAGGTAACAAAAATCTTGAATTGAATGCTAACAAGCATTTCCTCAATTAAACTCTCATTCGTGTCTATGTGTGTTATACATTTGTGACTGCCATTCTCAGTCCCAGGTCAGACACATTTTTAAATTAGTTATTTTATACATATATGGGCTTAATTACAAATGTATATGAAACTAGATACGTATGGGAAAAATCAGCAAAAGAAATCATAACATATAAAATAAATTATTTGAAAAAGTTTTAAAATTTAAGTAATAAGAAACATAAATGGGATTCTTGATGAAAAAAAGGAAAACTGCACTTATCACTCTCTGTCCCATTTACTTTTAATTACATTGAAGGTCAATATATATACAGTGGAACCTTGCTTAACGAGCACCCCTTATAACAAGCAAAACAAATTGTAAAAAAATGACTCGCTTAACGAGTGACGAGAGGGGAAGTCCCTGATTGTGCGCTTGCTGCATCAGTCTGTGTTTAGCACTCGTTTCGCTAGCATCTTAGTGTCGCTTGTGATCACACATTTTTCCAAACTTGTATTCAGACATACTATTTGTGATTTTTTTTTGTGCAAAGTTTAATAACCCTTGCAAAAATGTCCCCGAAAAAAAAAGCCGCAAAAAGACAGCCATAAGAGAATAAAAATAACCGTAGAAATGAAACGTAAAATCATTGAAAAGCGAGAATGAGGTGAGCGTGGCTGATCTAGCACGCACATACAATCTGTCTACATCAGCGATGGCCAACTGGCGGCCCGCGACTTGATTTACTCCGGCCCCCTGCCAAGTCTCAGGTTTATTTTCAAAAATCTTAACTTCACAGCTGTATTGGCATAGAATTCAGTTTTTAATAGGACGTTTCATTAGCTTACAGCATTTTGCAATTGACTGTATACGTTCTTACTGAGTTGGACAGTTCAAACGGTTTTCTAATAACTGTGTTCATGTCATGGAAATTCAAAGTTCCCCAACCCTACTTCTGTAGGGAGATGACACTGAAGGGAAGACCGTAGTGGTGAAGGATTTATGACACCTTCAAAATAATAACCATTCCCAGCTTGCTCGCGGCGATGGGATGTTTACCGTTTCTCTCGGCATCCTGGCCTTTGTTAAGTGCCAGTTTTAGCAGAAATGTCTCCCAGTTAGTGCGATTTTAGAAAGTGAAGTGTGATTACGGAGTGTGAGTGTAGAACTGTTTTTAAATTAAAATTGTGTTTGAAGTTATTGTGAGTGATACAGCATGTCAAATAGTAAATTGAGAAAAGTTGATAGCGAAAATAGGGCGTTCAAATCTGAGTGGGAACATGACTATTTTTTTATATTAAATAAAGACCACAAGCCACAGTGTTTAGTATGTTTTCAAGTGCTAGCAGTTTTAAAGGAGTACAACCTAAAGAGGCATTACATGACAAATCATAAACAGAAGTTCGGAAAACACTCTTGTGAATCAAGGAAAGTAGTCTGCGATCAGTTAAAGAAAAAACTTTTCCAGCAGAAATCTCTTTTTACCAATGAAACAAAACAACAAGAAGAAGCTTTGCTGGCTTCTTATTTCGTGACATATGAATTAATGAAAGCTAAAAAAGCGTTAAGTGATGGTGAATTAATTAAGAACTGTGCGATAAAGATGGCAGAAGCTTTCAATGAAAATAAGGTAGGAAACAAATTTCAAACAGTGCCCCTTTCAAAACAGACTGTTACTAGGAGGCTGGAAGATATTAGCAACCAGATATCTAATAATGTGAAAGACATTATCGCTAATTGTTCCTATTTCTCAATTGCTCTCGACGAAAGCACAGATGTTTCGGATACTAATCAGTTGCTGATATTTGTTCGTGCAATTAAGGAAGATTTTACAATTTTCGAAGAGTTGTTAAAAGTGTGCTCTTTACACAGCACAACTAGAGGTGTCGATATTTTTAACGCTGTTAAGAGTGCAGTGGAGGAATTCGGTGGTTTTGAAAAATTGTCCTCCATAGTAACAGATGGCGCTAAATCAATGACAGGGACAATAAGCGGTTTTGTTGGATTTTTAAGACAGAATCAAATTACTGTACCTACCTTGCATTGTATTATACATCAGGAGGCTCTATGTGCCAAATCAATTAAACTGTCTACCACCATGGCTACTGTCACAAAAATTACTAATTTGATCAGAGGAGGAAATCGATCACTCACTCACAGAAAATTTCTGACCCTCTTGGAAGAAATGGATTCTGCTTACGGGGACCTGCTTCTGCACACTGAAGTAAGATGGTTAAGCCGTGGGAAATGTCTGGTACGGTTCTTTGAACTCCGTCATGAAATAGCAACATTCCTAAGAGAAGAGGTTACGAATTCTGCTGAACTGCAGAATGATCTCGAAGACGTCGAATTCTTGAGAAACTTGGCCTTTCTCACTGATATCACTCAACACTTGAATGTCCTGAATCTGCAATTGCAAGGCAAGAAGCAGACAATATGTCAGATGGTTGGCTTTGTTGACAGTTTCCGTAAAAAGCTACATTTATTTAAGTCTGCATTGGACAAAAATAACCTTCTACATTTCCCTTGCTGTCGGAAACTCTCAGAAGAAGAAGAAGGCTTGGAGTTTAGGGACTACACTGAAATTATTGAAGATTTGTCTTCAGAGTTCGACCGACGATTTAACGATTTTGAAAGCTTTCGACCTGATATTTCTTTATTCAGTAATCCTATACATTGTGATATAGAATCTCAGCCAGGTCATCTGCAATTAGAGCTTTGTGAACTTCAATGTGACCCATCCTTAAACACATCTCAGGTTACTGGAATTGACTTTTGGAAACTGCTTTCACCAGAACGTTACCCACTGTTACGAAATTGGGCTCTCAAACTTTGCTCTGTTTTTGCAAGTACTTACATATGCGAGACAGCGTTTTCATCGCTGAAGCATGTAAAGTCTAAGAACAGGAACAGACTTTCAGATGTCGTGTTATCACATATTCTTCGAGTGGCAACCTCACAATTAGAAGTGGATTTTATATCATTGGTTTCCAGTTTTATGAAACCACAGTGCTCTCATTAAAACAGTGTGTATATGAGGATTTAGGTATAATCATTAGACCATAAAAACTATGATTGAAAGTCTTTTGTGCTCATCCCTGCTGAAAGAGGAATTTGTGCTGTTTTATGGTAAGTAATTGCACATTTCAAGGCATTTTATTTTTCTTTCTTAAATTATAATTGCATTTTCCCCCGGCATATATAAAACTAAACATAAGACATGATCTGGCCAGTGTTTCTTTAAGAAAAAATGCTCTGGGGGTAGAAGTGATAGAAGGCAATAAAATCGATTGGTGAAATTTTTATTATCGGCTTAATATTATTGGTGCAACGTAAAATTTAAATACATAGGTTTAAATGCACTGTTTTTATACGGGTTGTGACTGATTCAGTTTGGGGGGCAATACTCCCCTACCACTCTTCTGAAAGAAACACCGTATCTGGCCCCTGATGGTGTTCTATAAACTAAATTTGGCCCTCGAGATGTATTAGGTTGGCCAACGCTGGTCTACATCAACAATTTGCACTACCATCAAGAACAAGGACAAGATTAAGGAGACAGATGCTTCAAAGAGAGTGACAAGAATATCTACGCAACGGTTACATATTCTCGACGATATTAAAAGGTTGCTCCTCATAGGGATAAACGAAAAGCAATTGCAAGGCAACACTATTAACAAGAACATCATTTGTGAGAAGGCAAAAGTGATTTCGCTGACCTCGTTAAGAAGATGCCAGGATCATTAATGGCTGAAGAAGAAGCATTTAAGGGAAGCCGTGGGTGGTTCGAGAAGTTTAAGAGAAGAACCGGCATCCACAGCATTGTAAGGCACGGTGAAGCAGCAAGCTCCGACACAAAGGCAGCAGAGAACTTCATCAGTGACTTCAAGAGTTTGTCAGAGGAGGAGGTAACAGCAAAGCAACAATCTTCTGGTACAATAACAGAAATGCTGAAAGTATGGGAAACTGTTGCATCGTACACTGAGAAGCATCACCCTAATAAGGCAGTGGCTATGCATGCTACAAATTTAATTAATGATAACGCTGTGTCGCATTTTCACAAAATTTTGAAGCGTCAGCAAAAACAAATGTCTCTAGACAGCTTTCTAGTAAAAAAGAATTAGATATGTATCATAAATAATAAACTAATTATTCCAATTTCTTTTCTTGTTTTCTGCAAATCGAATTCGCATTCCAGGTTGGTTCATTCCGCATAGAAGAAAAGATGAAGATGATTCACACTCCTTAACAATGTATATATATAATTTTATTTGAATAAACGTTATACATAAAATTTTTGAGTATTTTTTTCGGCATGGAACAGATTATCGTATTTTACATTAATTTATATGGCAAAAATTGTTCGCTTAATGAGTGTTTCACACTACGAGTAAGATTCTGGAATGAATTATGCTCGTTAAGCGAGGTTCCACTGTACTACAAATCAGGGGAGCATAATGGGCTAAGAGAACAGCATGAATGAGGGAGACAAGAAATACCCATAGATCTTTAACTTTGGTTAAATAATTCTGCTGGAAAGCAGTCACTTGAAAGACTGAGAAAGAGAAAGACAACATTAAGATATTTCCGAAAGAAAAAGATTGAGAGGGGGAGGAGAAAATATGCAATTATTTCAGGATTACATTCACCACTGAGTTCTGTTATCACCACTGTTGAACCTCTGAGTTATACTACCACAGTGCCAGTTATGTACACTGTCACATGTATGAGTGTCTATTGATGGGGTTTGCATTGGTAATCAGATTTATTGAACTCTTGTAACTTGTAACTACAAGTAAGGATTTTCCTTTCACTGTTCTACACACTTCACAAATCACTACAGACACAATAGGTCTTCTCAGCCTGTTACAGACTTCACTAGCTGTTGCTTGGTAGTGGCTTCCAATGACAGAAGTTTCCCTTTCCTTTAGGGGCTGTTACTTAGAAACAGTTGTTGTACAGTTGCTTATTTCATGATCATTGCCTAGTATACACCGAAGAGAGGCCAAAATAACAGCAAAGACGGCTAATAAATCCCTTCAAAGTATGGCAAAATTTTAATATTTGGGAATGATAGTAAGAAATAAAAATTGCATTCATGAAGAGAGTAATAGCGGATTAAGTTAAGGGAGTGCTTTACCACCATTCATTTCTAAATATCTTACTTTCCTCCGTGTTATCTGAAAAGTAAATATTAAAATGTAAAAAACTGTAATTTTTTCTCATTGTTTTGTACAGTTGTGAAACTTTGTCTTTCACTATATATAATATGGAAGAACTCTGCTACCATCAACACAATATTTCAGTTATTACATTAGATCTTTATTACTGCAACATGGTTTGGTCATACAGGACCATCATCAGGCAGAAATATGTACAGTTATTGAAAATACCGTTACAGATTCTTATCGGTGCAATCGTACTGAATATTAACATAAAAACTTCGCCTCAGATTGGAGTATAGTTAAAATAGCAAATATATTTGTCTGTGACACACAACAGGATGCAACCTGTGGGGAGGGGGATTGTCTTTCACATTAAGAGAAGAATACAAATTCAGGCCAATGAGCCCTATTTTGTGGGATACAACACTGTGAGTCTGGTGAAAGTCAACTGGCATTTTGGAGGAACATATTGCCTCAATGTTTGAGGTCAAAGAGTAAGCCAAGCCAGCTAACAGGCAGCAAGCAGTGCTTGGTCTAGATTCATTTGGCTCAGGACAGGGCTCAGTGGTACCCTCTTATCAATATGGTAATAAACTTTCAGGAGTTCTATATAATGTGGGGAATAATCTGGGTAGAAGAGTGACTACTGACTTCCCATGAAGGGTTGTTCCATAATGTCGGTCAGTCAGTCGTGAAACAAGACCTTGAGGGGTGTATTCTTGTGACGTCACTTTATTACTCAATGCCGTAACTACAATTCAACATAACTGTAACACAAAATGTTCAACAAGTCATTTCACAGATGATCCTTTCATCTTAACAACTCTCACTACACATCAGATCTGCTTTGCTCTCTACGCGGCTTTCACTGGCTTCTCTCAATACACACAGCCTTCTGTCGGCACACACTGCCTCCGCTCAGCTTCCACTGGCTTCTCTCAACACAACACAACACAACACAACACACTCACTATGGTGCTCAGTCCTCAGCTAGCTACTTATACTGTACCGTTGCCATAGCAGCAACAGCGTCCGCTGTTATATCACAGCGGGCAAGTATTTACCATCTCGTTGTCTAGCACAGCTCCTCTGCTGATGCGTCACCGGAGGGAAGTGTTTACTGGCCTGTTGCCCCTAGCAGCAGCAGCAGCAGCACCAGCAGCTCCTATGCTGTTACGTCCCTGTGGGGAATGGTTTACCCGCACTGCAGGCGTTATCGCCTCGCGCTGAGTCCACAATTCCCAGGTAGGTCGGTCAGTCGGTCGGTCGGTCGGTTGGTCGGTCACTAAGTTAATAGACAGGTATCTGAGAAATATAAATCTACAAAGCAAAGACTAAGAGGAAGGCCGTGAGATGCTGAGAATGGGATCTGAAGTTAGTATAGGTATTAAATCATGAAGATAAGATGAAGTGAATTATGTTCTTCAAAACTTATGCCTAAAGGGCAAATATTCTGTAGTACCTTCAATGCAGCTTCAGCTATAAGGACTAGAACCTGGCCCTCTCGTTGCCGTTCATCATTCCCACAGACATGAAGTTTATCTGCAAGCTGCAGAAGTCTCTGCATGCTGCGATAACTCATGGGCTTACTGTGGATACACTTCTCCACTAGTCTCAGTCGCTCACTACACAACCTCACTGCAACACAGAACATGACGAAACAGGCAAATACAGTTATAACTAACTATCCAACGCTTGAAAATATCATTTAAGAAAGTGTGAATTAAGGACAAAGTAATATAGAGATCTATAAACTTTCTTTGAGAGCATAAAAAAAATCAAATAACAACTGGAAAGACAAAACACTAAGTGGACACACAAAGAAAAGGAAGCTACAAAATGAGAGCATGCAGCCACAAGAGGACACATCAAAAGACACAGTATACACAAAATATAGGAAGAACGACTCCCAAAGCGGAAGATTGATATAATAAGCGAGTTTGAAATACGACGTATAAGATATTAAAGCTTAACAAAAATTTTAATATATCAATTTTATTATAGTACATGACGAATATACATTTTAAATCATTTATAAATGACACATGATGGTGAGCAGTGCAATAGTTTAACGTAAATAACACACCTGAGGATGGCACAGTGATGCCGAAACATGTAGTGAAGTGACAAGTGAGATTGTGTGCACTAGAAGACAGTCAATACATACACATCATGGACGTGAATCAGTGTAAGAGGATGCTAAAATACAACATTAATGAATGTACATATTGTGGTGTACTGGCTTTATGGTTTATGTCATTTTGTCATGCAAACCACTACACGTGACAATGTATTTTAATGACATTTTAAACATTTAACAAACATTTTAGTGAATCAAATGTGACTTAGTGTCATTTAAAATTTAAATTGTTGCACTATAGACGGAAAATAAGACTACAAATGATACCCCTTCTCAATGTACATCATTTTAGTTCTCACTTTAACATGATTATGTCATCAGTAACAGGAAACATGGTGGATAACCAGTGATTGTGAGGGCAACCGTGATAAGACTGATGAAATGCATTTATTTTGGAAGAAGATGAAGAGGAAAAACCCAGTGTATAGGAGTTTTTGAAATCATTTAATATCAAAAATGCTAAGAGCACCTCAATACAGGACTGGAAGTTTCTACAACCCTCCTAGATGACTTGGTCTGAGCATGCAGAATCCCACATTCATTCATCTCTTTTGGGCAATCAGCTCTTTATTTATGCATGTTTAATGACATCAAGTCATGTATCTGAGAACTGGCAATACTGTGCAACAGCCACTCCTCTTCTACTGGCTTCTTGCCAGGGTGATGAACTTGGAATTATATGAAGATATATAAGGATGAAACTTTTATCCCACATTTAAACCTCGCAAGAGGATACTAAAGGAAATGTGTGGAGAAGAAAGAGGAGAAAGTAAAAAGAGAGGAAAGGAGAAGATTTCATCAAAAAAGTTTTACTTCACTCAAGGGGCTGAGCCCTTCTTGAGAAGCCTCCAATTGTGCAGCTACTCGAGAAATTCCTACCATTTTATTGAACCTTGAAGGTTCATTACCATGTTCACAAGAGCCATTCACTGGTACCTATCCTGAGCCAGATCTATTCAATCCATACCATCCCATCCTACCTCTCTAAGATCCATTTTAATATTGGCCACCCACCTACGCCTAGGTCTTCCCAGTGTTCTCTGGCTTTCCCACCAATATCCTATATGCATTCCTATTTTCCCCCATTCATGCTACATGCCATGCCCATCTCATCCTACTTGAATTGATCACTCTAATTATACTTGGAGAAGAGTACAAATTACGAAGCTCCTCATTATGTAGTTTTCTCCAACCTCCTGTCACTTCATCTCTCTTTGTTCCAAATATTCTCCTCAACACCCTGTCTTCAAACACCCTCAATCTATGTTCCTAGCTTAATGTCAGAGACCAAGTTTCACACCCATACAGAACCACAGGCAAAAGTATAGTTTTGTATATTCTAATTTTTATGTTTTTGGACAGCAGACAAGTAGACAAAAGGTTCTGGACTGAATGGTAGCAAGCATTACCCGAGTTCAATTTCCCCTTAATTTCCTCCTGAATCATGTTTTGATTTGTTATTGTTGTTCCCAAATATCTGAACTGTGCCACATTTTCAAAACATCTGTTTTCTATCATTATGTCATGATTTTGCCTTGCATTTTGGTGAAAAGAGTTTTAGTTATGCGTAAAATAATTTTGAAAATTCATTAAATACATTAAATCAAACAAGCTACCAATAAAAGTGAATCATCAATTATATCCAGTATGGTTCAATATGAATTTAACTCTTTCAAACCTAGAAGAGATATCTCATTTAGAAACTCCAGGTACTTCTGCTATGAACACCTTAATTTGTCATTAGCAATGAAAATGAACCCTCCGACCACTTGTTGATAGCTGATGTCAATTATGACTTTACACCCATATATTTTATAACTACTGTCAAAATATACAAAGCACATATGGGATAAAATCATATGTTCTCTAAACTGAACTTCACACATGTAAAACTTACCCTGGAGAGGAAGAATGTTGATTCCAAAGTCACTCAGAAGTTGCAGTGCAGCAATCAGATCCAACTGTTCCTTAATTTTCTCATTTTCATCAGTGATGAGGTTCAGGCATGTTCTACATTTAAAAAACATAAAAACATAAAACAAAAAAGTAAAGAAAAAAAGAAAAAGGGGGGGGGCATACAATGGAGGCTGTCAAACAAGCCAACAAGCAAGCACTAGTTTGTCATTCAGTCAGAACTACAAGTTTTGTAATACAGGTATATGGCACTGCTTGAATTTGTAATTCTAATTCAATTACTTTCTTATTTTATTGTTTAATTAATAATTCTGACAGTAATTCAATTAAGATTTGAGATGTTACAGGAGAGGTGTTCAACATGTGGAATATGTGCTGTGCAATACATGGCACATCATGACATTAAAAATGGCAAATGAATACTTCTCAAACAAAGAGGATTTCATTTTATTTTAAAATTTAAATGTTCGGCACACTTGGCAGTAATACAATTTAAAGAAGGCATAGTGTTGCATGCAGGCCCACTGCTAGGCAACAACCATGAAAGTAGCAACTATTCAACAGATATCGCTAAGTAACAGCTCCACAAACAAGCATGTTTCCACAGCAACAAGAGAATACAGCAATAATGGAAGAAACATTTTCTATGTGGTCATGCCAAGATGTTATAAGCAGGACCAGTTAAGAGTTGCAGTTAGTTTGAGAACTACTGGTGTCCAGTCATTGTGAGCTGTTGCTGTTAGAAGGTGGTAGCTGAGGCTAAGGACAGTTCAGGAACTCTGAGAAATGGGAACATCTGCTGTTGGAAGCACTACCAAGCAACGGCAGTGAAGACGTGATTGTGGGCGCTACTGTGTGTGTAATAGTGAACATATGGTGTAGTCATGCACTGTGTCAGAATGTGTAACAAATCAAACCATCAATCAAAAACCCATCTAAAGTCAAACTGTATCATGTGACAATATTTATACACTTGACTCAGTGACACACATTTTTGGCCATGAGAAGTGGCACATGGTAAAGGGTGAGGTTCAACACAACTGTGCAAAAGTTTAGTTCACTTACAGCATAGAACCCCAGCGTCAAATTTTAGTGAAATCAAATGAATGGGTTTGAAGACAAAATACATATGCAGACTGAAACTCTCAAAGTGTGTTCATTAACAGTACTTCAAGAAAAGAAAGTATGGTATCAAGACTAAAGATGAGAAATATTTAAAAGGAAAATAATGATACAGAACTTTTTCCAGTCCAAAATATCAACATGAAACAGCTTACTTAGCAAGGTCCAGAGCAGGATCAGATGCACTACCAGATAAGTCAAAATATTCCATAGCGGCTTGCAATACAAGCTGCACACTGTGATGATAGGACACCTTCGTATCTGTCCATCCTGTGTTCTGGCGCTGCAAAATGTTTCCAACTTCTTCTATGTTCCTCTTGCTACCAGAAGCCAATACATTTGCTACATAAATCTATGAAAACACAAAAAGTGGAATTAAACATCATTCTACATCAATGATTCTGATGAATCACTAGCAGCCATTTTTCAAGAAAAACACAACTGACTGAAAAATAATCACATTTAAGGTGTTATCAAATTAATTTCCAATCTTTGAGTTGAACCCCTGTAATAGGCTGTAGAGGCCCACAGGGTTGTGAGAGGTTGAGGCTCCCACATTTTGTAGACAATCAGCTCACAGATGGTGCTGAGGTTGTGAGCCTTATGGACCGCCACCCTTTACCACCATAAAGATTCCTGGTACTAATTTCTGTTAGAGGCTGAGCTGACCCCAGGGCCATGGTGTGGCTGGAAGAATTAGGTCAATTGAAAAATGCAATGACCTCATTGGGAATCAAACCTGCGACCTTCCGGCTTGTATCATAGTATCAACCAACGACAGATCCTGAATAAAGTCTTTTCTTTTTACATTCAGTCATTAAATCTTGTTAAATATATACTGCACCACCCACGTCAAAATTGAGTGAATATGGCCACTGCAAATTTCTGCTTGAGAACCACTAACATATAAGAGGACTGCCTCCTATGCCGTGATGGTACGCAGTCCATCAGAAGTTCATCAGTGTTTTGGAGAAACATACTGCCTCCATCGTCAGGGTTGAAAATATACTACAACCAATGAGCATTAATGAAACAGCATCTTGATTAAGCATACCTTCAACCCAGTAGAGGGAGGCATATGCTCCTCTGAAATGTCAATGAACTTTCTAATCTGTAGTCCTGAATGTAAGGACTTCAAATCCAGCACCAACATAGAATTCAATGTTTTGATTTCAATCACAAAATCATTTTAACTAACCTGAAAGCAACTTTCAATATTAATGATTGTGAAATAATTTGCCTGTAGATCTAACATATCAGCAAGAAGTTGTTTACAGTCTGTTTCACTAGGTGATGGAAACCTGAAAAAATAAAATATATATTGGCATTCATGGTTATTTACAACATAACTACAATCACTTCACAGATTCACACATACTCTTTAATGCACAACAACAAAAAATGTAGCTGAGATTCGAGTAGAGCTGTACAAGGAAAGTTTGAAAGCTACTTTAAAATTCTGCCATTCAAAACAGTTATTACTGCACTTACTTTTTAATTTGAATTCAAGCACAATGCTGTGTTTTCCAGCATTATTAAATTATGTTACTTTTCTCAGAACAGGCAAATTACTACTGTCACTGTCTTTGTTATCATCGTTATCATCATCATCCCCACTTCCCATTCAAGCATGAGTATGAAAATCATCATAGTAATAGCTGCAAGAAGTTCCATGATAACTGAATACAGAAACACTACAGCAGATAGGTTCAAAGCTATTTGTGAATGTCTCAATATGCACTTCTGGAATTGTTAGTAGAATTTTTCAGTTGTCGTTAATCAGCACATGTGCTAGTTTCCAGAGGAGAGCATAGTGTGTGGAAACTTTTCAAAAGTGGCAAAAAATCATCTCGAATAGCAATTTGACACCAAATTTTACCAGCGACTGGGAGAACTGCAAACAAAAATGAATTATTTTTGCATAAAACAGATGGCCAGCATTTTAATGTTTGAGCGTAACATTCAGACTTACTCTGGTCTCAGGACTGTGGGAATTTACAATGAAGACTGTCATTTTGTATCTAGGTCATACTGGAAGACTCAAGTCTCATCACAGGCTACTATTCTTTTTTACATAAGGTTAGATGCCACCAAGAACCTTGCTAAAGTAAAGGCATTCCTCTAAAAGGCGATGGAAGCCTATAGGGTTGTGAGATGTTGAGGTTCCCACATGTGGCCTCCATGGCCTGTTACAGGGATACCTTTACTTTACTTTTATCTTGCTACAGCATCTAAGCAGATTCCTGTTCAGTCATATTTTTGACATACACATATATCATTGTACTAACTGCAGAAACAAAACAAACTGAATCACGATGACCGTTTGAAACAAATTGTTTAATCAAGTATTCACATGGTCCAACATGCATTATCTCATCAGTTTTGCCTCTTACGCACAAATGGCATATGGTAGCTAGTAGTTCCACTACTATGCGCGGTGTTAGAATTGGGGCAGATAAGATAAATTATGAAGAAAGCAGTCTTCTGGGATTTGGCACCGTGTATATGTGGTGTTAACCGACATTCCTCCGAAACGTCGGTTAACCCGTTGCCGTGGTTCGTCGTGTATGTTTCGTCAGGGATTTAAATCGTCTGGGGGGTTCGACGTGTATGTTTCGTCCAGCTGCACACGTATGTTATAACGCCCATAATAATTGATGGTTTTGCTGTAGATTGTTAGA